CAAAGTGATGAGATGCGCACCCGCTTTAAGGCCAGTTGCTGAGATGGCTGTCGGTATGGCGAAGACGCCCAAAGCAGTCCAAATCAGCAAAATGATCGCGGAGTTCATTATGAATCTGTAAGACAATGATGTGGACCAGCCCAATTCTTCTTTTATTAACAGAAATTTCTAACAAGAGGGAAAACTTATGAGAAACTTAAAAGCATTGCTTACAAGCAAGGAAGAAACGAAAAGAACTCATAGCGACATGAGAAGTTTAGCCCGACACTTGTGCCGGCTCTTTTTGACAATGTCAACTGAGGACAGTAATCATGAATGCTTTCTGCAATGCGAGTTACAATCATGATGAGTCTGAAAAAATAAAAAAACCTTATAAGACGGCTAACTGTTGTCTTTTTAGAGAGTAGAAAAATTCGACAACAGTTTTAGCGCTTGCACCTTTCTTTAAGGCCCCTACCAAACTTCTGCGTTTTCGTTTGAAAACATAAACTTTTTCACGTGTTTTTACCGGTCATCCACTCTAAAACACCCGAAAACGTTGATGAAAACGGAGACTTTCGAAAATAGTTTCGAAAAGAGTTTTAAAAATGGAGCGTTTTGAAAAGGCATCGTTTTTAAAAAGCTCCGTTTTAGAGTTGACAAGTGAAAAGGGTGACGAAAAAATTTGCAGATGTGATCGGTTCTAATCCTAAACGTAGCATCTGGCCGAGATGGCGGATAACCTTGCGATGTTGTACTTGCTGTTTTTGAGCTATGTTCATGTCTTCAGCTTAACATCGCCTTGTGCAATGCGAAAGCGTACGTACGACGGAGTCGGACAAGGATCATGAAAAGATTGGTTTCATTATCAATTTCAGGTCCAACTCGTTTCATCGTTTCATCGTTTCATCGTTTCATCGTTTCATCGTTTCATCGTTTCATCATGGCCACGACCTACGACAACATATTCTCTGTGATAGAAAAAGAAGCGCGAAAGAAAAATTGTTCATTTGCCATCGGACGGTTTCATATAGTTAAGCTCAAAGCTATCTTTAAGGAAGCTTTCGGTAAAGTTTTTATTAAAAGGATTATCTTTAATTTCTAAAATGTTTTGTGACATAAATAGAGAGGAGTACGCCGTGATGCGAAGATATAAGTGTTAAGTTGAGTGGTAGAAACAAAAGTTAAAGCAAAAGCGCGGTAACTCATGATTTTTTTGTTTTCAACGGAGTGTAGATAGAGCCGGGCCGCAGCCAAAGATTGCTTTGTGCTTAACTATATGAGACCGTCCAATGGCAAATGAACAATTTTTCTGCTTCAAGCAGTTTAAATTTACTGAAGATGGTATAAATCTGCCGCTCGTATGATGATCGGAAATTTTGAAAAATCCCGCGTGTATTTTGAAGCTGTTTCCGCCATTGCTCCAAAGTAGTCATATACGGTCATTGTTAATAATTTAACAAAGCTTGCTGTAATCTAAGCTGATCCGCTTTTCTTGATACGTTAATCATTTCCAGTAAAACGAAATTACCGAGATTTTATGGAAGAAAGATCTTCGTTACGCGAAGGGAAAAGCTACTGCAGCGCAAGAAAAACCCAAAATGCAAACAACAAGCGAAAGGAAAGTATAGAGACCAGTCAAATGATTCATCACTATCAACTTGTTTTCTTCACGACTGGGCTGGTTGTGATATGTAAAGTAATCGGCCAAAAAATATTGCGACTTTAGGCGATTTAAGGCGACTTAAAGCGATTTTACTCGACTGAAGCGATAAAACCGAAGTTAACAAAAGTCTCTCCATAAACTTTAAAAATGTCTACAGAATCCCTTGCAATAAACACAACAGTCGTTTCGGTTACTTTGGTATGCTCATAAGTCACCACAGTCTAAAATATCCAGATTTCAAATCAATTTAGCTAAAAATGTTCAGACAAAATTACCACAACAGTTATTGTTAAATTATACAGTCAAAGCTAGTGAATAAATAGCCAGGAAACCAATTTAGCAAAAATGTTCAGACAGAATTACCACAACAGTTATTGTAAAATTATACAGTCAAAGCTAGTAAATAAATAGCCAGGAAAACATCATGGGTTATATGCCCAACATCAAGCAAACCTATCATAAATATACACATAGTGCCATAAATTTTTTAGACACAATTTTGATGAAACTATCCATAAATTTTCCACATAATTAATTAAAAATAACATGATTATTTACGTGTATTAAATATTTCACAAAGCTCCACAAATTATAAAAAATTGTTATCTTGGTAAACTTGTCTCCCATATTTTTGGCAGTTGCACTGTCAATTTTGGCATGAAAGTTTGGCAAGTCGCATGCCTTTCCAACAACATCCAAAATTGCACGGGTCCTTTTCAGTGACCCAACCAATTTGTTGTTCTCCTGCCTCAGTTAGACAAAACACCCCAATACCATACTGAGAACCAAATGCTAAGGTCCTTTGTAAAACTGCTTCCTTTCCAGTCTCTCCAACTACTTTTCTAGCTGCAGAAAACTATGATTGGAGTGGATATGGTCAATTGGGGGTGGAATCCTTATGATATTGCGTAACCGATAGCAACCTAAGGAAACTTCATCAATCATCAAGCCAAAGGAAATACCACCTCTCTTGGTCGCATTTGCACTTTCCTCATCTTTTGAAAAAAACACAGATTATACATAAATTTGAGATGGGAATAGAGTTAAGTTAAAGAAATTTGCTCATAAATCAGATGATCACATACATACCTTGGATGCCGGATATCGAAGTGGTATTCGGCAAGGCAACGACTCCCAAAGCAATTGACATTATGATACCATGATGACACTGCAACGTAATATTAAAATTGCGTTTGTGAAGTTTCATTTATATGGGTATATTTGAAACAATCACAAATATGCCGGGCAGAGAGGAACAATAAGCCAAACAACTTAAGGAAAAATAAGCTGACAAAGATTCAAGGCTTGGAAAAGTCTCAGAAGTGGTACATATGAAATCGATCATAATTTTATGACCTCATATTTCAAGTGTCAAACTAATACTCAGAAATGGATAGCCAGTAAAGCAATTTCAAAAATTATATATAAGAGCGGAAACATTTTTTGGCTTCGTTTTCTAGTTACTGGTAGCACCCAACAGTATCAATGAGAACTAACAGACTCATGCCCGAGCGAGGTGTAAGTTCTTTACCTAGCCATCTTATCTCAAATTCAATCCCCTTATTCTGCATTGAGCAAATCTACGATTTTAAGCTGAAAATTTTTTCTTTTGTGTTAAACAAAACATCAAACCTTTCCTCGGCATCTTTGGCCCGAGAATTCCGAATTTTTAAAGTTGCATTTCGCCTCTCTCAGCGAATTTAATTGCTTGGTGGTGACAAATTATGAATAAATCTCCTTGTCACGTTACTGCTTCAGAGAGAGAGGGAGGGAGAGAGAGAGAGAAAGAGAGAGCGCAATGAGTGTGGGTCGCTACGTCAGATATAGGAGAAATTCTCACCCAAGTAGGGAACCGAATTAAGACTAATTTTATTTGTGAGTCATTTAGACAAAGAGGAACACCTTTACGTTTAAACAAGTCCAGCAGGTGTTCCTCTTCCCAAAATAACTTAGGTTTTGTAATCAATAAATTAACGAGGGCTTGAAAAGAGGGCTTGAAAAAAAAAAACTTTATCAAATGCTAAGAAAAATTTGATTACTGTTACTTCAAAGCTCGGATTTCAGTAGAGCTCCCATTTATCCTAAACTTAGCAGCAGATATTCTCTTATGACAAAGAATTACTGCGACAGTAATTAAGAAATGGATTACGAGATTATATTTTTAGGTATTCGTGACAGCCTCGGTATAATGAGCAAGACTATTGGCATATTCATTTGTAGGGTGACATTCACAAATAGGGAGCTTGAGTAGGGATGAGGAGGCTCTAACCTTTATCATAGATTTCTTTCTCTGTTTTTTGTCTTCTCCCAGTTATTCTATGTGACAGAGGAATTTAAGGAATTATCACGTAACCAATTCGAAACAAGCTAACAGCGGAAAGGTTAAAGAGATAGAAAAGCTAAGTATAGGAACATACCTAACTAAAGAAACTTACTGCCTGCGAACTGCTGCTTTCTTCTTCAAAAGGTGAAAAAGTTTTCACTCATTAGATTATTCCCCCAATTAACTTTTAATGATTACTTGATTACCAAATTATCAACTAGGAGGAATCTTGAAATTTACTTTTCTAGTCTTCTTTTGATTTTCACTTGTTTATGACAATTTTCTCTGATTGTTCAGTTAACCAGGTTGAAAGGTATTTGAAGGGCAGCACTTGACAGCCAAAACAATTTGTGAAAAGGGTCTTCCCTTGAACAGGTCCGCTTCTCGATCATCAGTCACCTTTTTTCATCATGCACCTGACAAATGGCTCATTCATCGAACGTCAAAATAAATCTTCCTAGAGGCTGCAGCGTACATGTTTGTCTCAGATAAAACTGCCTTTTTAGCATTAATGCAATTGGTATCACTAAATAAGGATACTACTTGTTTGTCATCAGGATGCAAAAAAGACAGGAATTGTACAGAAAGGTGACAATCAACTGATTTCGCTGAAAAATGAAAAGCAACAGGGCAACGGTAACTTCTTAACTTCTTTTGCTTGGTCATCAAGCTTTTGATTAAAGGCTTTTTCATTTCTTCGCTCAAGAGTTATTTAGCGTACTACCTTACTCTGAGAATCATTGGGAAAGTCCCTACCAAAACGTTCAAACAGGTGTATTTTTAATCGCCGATTAAGACCTCCTAACAATTTTCCCTAAAAAAAAAATTATTGTCATCTGTTAATAATTGACAAAATCAGAGAAATAGTACCAGCTAACTTTCTTATGCTCATCATAAATCACAGCGTTAGCATATTCAATGAATGCCATAACTAACCATGCATCTATTAATACATAAATATATTTGAACGCCACTTCCACATTTTAACCCTTTATTCAATTTTGTTGTACACAGTCATGAATACGTTTGGGAACTGGAATCATTTAAGACTGCATCTTATTCTTCTTACGAAAGCGCAGTTCGCCACGTGAATCACAAATTTTGGGGTCATTCTCCGCGTATTCTGGATAATATTTGTTCCTCATGAAGCAATTGACGGCTTTAGTATTACACTTGCACAGTTCGTAACGACAGCGGCTTCTGACAGGCTCTGAAAGAATCAAAAAGTATTGATGATGGTAGCAATTACAATGCTTATTATAATGACGATGACATAACTAACAACGAAATATTTAATGAAGAATTGTACACTTTTTCAAATTACATCTTCGGGCCTTTAATCTTTTCAATTTGCAATGGAAGCCGCAATCAACGCCTTTGTAATAAGTGCGCCATAAGAGTCTCGTTTTTGACGTTTGGCCATTTTGCAAAAAACGTTTCTGCTGAAGCCTGATAGTGAATTCATTATTATCATTATATATTTGTAAGATTGCTGCCTAGTCTCTTTCTCTTTCAAGTCACCATTCAATAGAGCTGGTTGGTTATATAATTAGCCATCCTGGTTAAGAGTTTTGAGCTTACCGCATTTGAAATTTTCTTTGCCTCCTTTCTTAGTCAATCTTACTGCGTAAGACATGTCAAACAGTGCTCCAAGTTTTCTGAAGGGGCAATACTTGGACTTCATATGTTTACTGAGGCAGATATTGCGGATGCGGCAACAACTGAAAAACAAAATAGATGGTTTCATGTCTTTCGGTGTGTCTTTCTACTGAGTGCTACAAAACCGAAACCGTGTCATGCATATTTGTTAGGATAAAAAGTTTCGAGAATTTGTTCGAAACGATGAAGCCTACCATAGAATCTCTATGGCTCATTGAAAGAGCATCGGTTAGCGGACTCGGAGGTCTGAAATTCGACTTTTCATGAGGACTCAGAATTTTTTGTCCCACGCCCGTGGCAAGACGAAATAACTTCTTTCTCTATTTCCTTAACGAGCTAAAGAATGTAACATCATTCTAATCATTAGAACGATGGTAAATTCTTTAGCTTGGTAGGGAAGTTTTATTCACACAATAAGTTCTATATAAGTTATATGAAGTTCTGTTCATACAATAAAAGATGCCACAAAGGGCCAATGGTGAATCATATGACATACATTTTAGGGGTCATTAGAGTAGGTAAACATTGATAGCCATGGTGATTGGTTGAGAGAACGGCACGGATTGTAAGAACAATTGCAGGAGGAAGTAAAGCCAGACTATTGTACTCCTAAATTAATCACGGCCCTAAACTAAATATTGTTCCATCGAAACCAAGTCCAAATATGCAAATAGAGTTTCAAACTGACCATAGTCAAACGGAATGAATCATATTTTCTCACACCGCGGAGATTTCAACTGACCAACCTCAGCCAAAAGCCCTTGCTGCAGGGTGAACGAGCAAACGGAAAGATAAAAAAAGAAACATATACGTTTGATAAAGAGAAGAAAAAGCAAACAAAGTAATAAAAACAACATTGTATAATTCATTTACTTGTCCACTTTGTCCATGATGTGCAAATTTCCATATCGAGGACGTAATCCAAATCGAGGACGTTTCCCACGTCTAAGATGTTTTCCAACCCTAGTATATTTTCCACCCCTAGGACGTTTTCCACCTCCAGGACGTTTTCCAACCCTAGTATGTTTTCCACCCCTAGGACGTTTTCCACCTCTAGGACGTTTTTCACCTTTAGGACGTTTTCCACCATTAGGACGTTTTCCACCTCTAGGACCTTTTCCACCTTTAGGACGTTTTCCACCTCTAGGACGTTTTCCACCTTTAGGACGTTTATCACCTTTAGGACGTTTTCCACCTTTAGGACGTTTATCACCTTTAGGACGTTTTCCACCTTTAGGACGTTTATCACCTCTAGGACGTTTTCCACCTTTAGGACGTTTATCACCTTTAGGACGTTTTCCAACTTTAGTATGTTTTCCACCCCTAGGACGTTTTCGTAGGATAGAAAACCCCTTTAGGACGTCTGTTTTGAAAAACAATTTATTTTATTACACTGTTCCTTTCCATGAAGTTCTTTGTGTGGAGATAAGGCTTATTCTTATTTTTGCGATTGTTTTGAAGAGAAAATTATGGGAAAATCTCCTCTTGACTTGGTATAATATTTTATCGAGTAGAAAAAAGTGAAGAAAGCAAATAAGAATATTATGTATGTCACTTACTTGTGCAACTTACTCTGATGACTGGAAAAACCAATTCGCACCAAGTTTTGGCATTATGGAAAAGGATTCTTTCATAATTTTACAGCGCGTCAAAGGGCTTCAGGACTTAGCGGCAAATGAGCGAAATTGAAACTATCTTAACTGACCTTCAGCTCATGGTGTGTCGTTTGTTTGTGATCTCAAAATTCTACTTCATCTCAGTCTCAAGGTTTTATTAATTTGTTTTTTTTGGTTTTTCAAAAAAGAAAAAAAAACGTTTTTCATAGGAGAGGGGGGGGGGAGGTTGGGTAAAGATATAAGATTGCCAGTGGATATCTTGTTTCTAATCAATAGCAATATACGCTTCTCCAAAGTGGAGGACGAAATCAACAGTTTAAGGGGGTAATACAGGGGAAACTATATTATTCCGCTTAGTGTGAAAAAAAACAGCATTCTTGTTGAAAATCTGTGCGATGACTGCATAAAGAACCCTTATGCAGCTCCAGGAAAAAAATAATTTGTGTTGTTGAATATTCAGTTGTTTTTATTTAGAGTTTTACTTTGAAGAGTTGTTTCCATGAAAAAAGATGAACAAAACTCAGCACACTTACACCGATTGTTTTTGGATGGGTCTGTCTTTGGGAAGTTAATAACGCTGGCTATAATTCATTAGATTTGTCATCGACGAATAATTAAATGACATGTATATGTATGGGACTTGGTTATTGGTTAGTGATACTTTTAAGTGTGTAAGCAATTCATTTCGATCAGAATTGTAATTTCCTCACCTAAAACATCTGACGTTTCTTCCACTTCCTCACCAGACTCAGCTTCTAAGTCGTTGGTTTCGTTTTCATACTGTTCAAGATCTTTAAAAAGAGAATTTACAGTTATAGTAACAGCTACAGTAGAATGGGGATCCCTCCTAGGGAGGGTTACAAAACATATACATTGACGCAAGTAGTAAATTATGCCAGTTTAAAACGTACCTTAGACACAACGAATGCCTTGAGAAATGGCGCCACACGGGAAAAAAATCCCAAATATTAATCATTTCATTGATGGCCGTTAGTTATCAGGAGATGAAGAGGATGCTTTGAACGCCAAAAAAACAACGAGAACAATTTTATTTGGCCAACATAAATCAAGTGTTGTGTTTAAAATGCAGTTTAACTGAGTGGTCAGTTGAGCAAATTTTTTGCGCAGGTTTTTGACCAATCAGGGCGCTCGTAGTTTCTCCGCTCTTTTTCAAGAAAATGGCATTTACCGGTTAAACAAACACTGGGTGGCTCTTTGTCAGGTCGAAATTGGAAAAGGGAGTGTTGGTTCATCAACGTAAGATTGAATAGCGAAATAGTTTTACTCCCCGAGCAGCCGAATTAGAGAGACTTTAATTGCTTACGGCTCATGAACATGCAATGATGTTGGAAGTAACGCCATCAGCCAACAAGTGGACATCTTTCTATAGTTATTATAAATTTCAGCAATGGTCTTTGTTTTTATGCTGAGAAATACAATATAGAAGGAATGAAGGGGAACAAAGAAAGCTGTAACCTTTCGTATCAATTTTCTTGTGATCATTATGTAACTTTACCTGTACCTAGTTGGTTTTCATCAATCAAAACCGGCTCTGTGTCTTCATCTGCGTCTTCACTCTCTTCCTCAGCGCTTCCAACTACTGTCTGGTCAGGATTTATCTCTACATACCGAGAAAAGTAAACCAATAATCAGAAATACATCAAGGCAGGTGGTTTCTTGTAGGGTTCTCATGGGATAGCTGGTAATTAAATTGAATTTGGATTTAAAACAACGTGGCATGTTTCCTAATCGAGAGATATCGTCATTACCAACATAAACCTTGCTGTCAGCTTAGTTGGAAGCTAGGGTAGCAAAGAAAAGTGTAGAGTACTTTACATTCCGACGGGGTAACGGAAGTGGCACCTTACCTTCAAGATCGAGGCCAGATTCACCAAAGGCACTTTTCACATTGACGGCTCCGAAGAGCAAGAGTATCACAAAAAATAACTTGATTGTCATTGTAACTCTGCAATGCGATTGGCTTTATATTAGTTTAAAGTCAATTTGAAGAACAATCATTTTTTTTTGCAATCACCTAACATGACAACAGACTGACTGAAAGACTATTGGCTTCCTTTGAAAAGCTGACTCGTTCCTTTACACACACGATACACTATGAACACTTTTGCTAGACAATAACTTATTGATAGAGAAAACATTTATGGTCAAATCGAAGGAGCAAGTAATCTTTTGTGATTCATTCCCTTCGTTTCTGTAAGATAACCCTCATTCCTGGTTTACCTAACACACTAACCACTGATAAACCAAATGAGAAATTATTCTTGGACGTATTTAATTATCATTGATCTTGCCGCACAACACGCAGTTAAGCCTGGGCTGTACCAGTATTTGTCAGGCGGACACGTTAGTCTACAGTGTATATCATGACACTTTTGGGATTTGCTTCAGTCTAGATGTTCTTGCTCCTTAGTGCATAAGGATCTTTATCGTATGAAAATAAAAACGGACAAAAACTAAACGTTTTCTACATAATATGTTCGAATTTAATACGCATTCGATAAAATTGAAGTGTGAAAGGTTCAGAAAAAAATGAGTAGTGAATTTTCTAACGATAAGTTAGTTTTTCCCATAGTATTATGTGAGTTCAATTAGAACTATAACTGCAAATAAAATAAAATAAAAAAATTCCAAAGAAATTAACATTCATCCAAAAATGTGTCAATCTTTGTATTGATTTCGACTTCTTGAGATGGTATCTGTAAATATATAACTCAAACGTTGAAATATGAATTATATGGACTATATGCAATCGTACTGATGCCAAAGGCGAAAAGCATAACTTACCTCTTAGGAGAATCTGTTTGAATGAGAAACTGTGTCAAATTTCCTGAATTAAATCATGAATTCTTGACCTCGTCCTGTAACCTTTAGTAATAATTAATTGGTCAGGTTGTAAAAAAGCTGTTTCTACAGTTTCCCATAAACAGCTACCTGGTATCCGCATTAATCGGCCACATGTTAATGACAGAACATCATGGTCGCAAACAAGCGTAGAATACGATATCGACTTATGGAAAGAAGAACAAAGAAACATGATGCATTTATTCAAGGGTAGTCACATCGTTCTAAGTTAAAGATTGGTAAGCAGTGACATGTGCTTAAGCGTACATAGAAAAGACGTGGGAAACGTCTATAATACTGCTTCTCGTAGTTCCCAAACAATCTAAAAAAGTTATTAACAAACCAAAGGAATGATAAGTAAAACACCACCCTAATTAAGTTAACTTGAGGTTTGATCATAGTAGTGACTTGATGGAATAGAGCCAGGGTGTGGCAAACTTAATGAAATTTTTTTTTGTTTAAGATTGAAATACAACCTTCTGACTTGCAATAAATATGGAATAATTTTTAATGTCTTTAAAGGCCCATTTCCAACCTTGATGCAACGCGGTCGTTTGTTTTTGTTTTGAACCACCACTTTTGTTTAAATAGCGCCTCTGATCGGTCAGTTAACTTTACTTGTCACGTCTCAAAATACCTTCTGCGTTTTCTCCGCTGAATTTTTGAAGAGTTTATTTAAATAATTCTTTTTAAAACAGTTCTATACGTTTTAATCCAGTATGTTATTAGATGAATCCATTGATTTTGTCGATTTTCCGAGGCAGTAAACCCTTATGGATCGGTTATTGCTAAAGAGGAACGCGAAAATCCTTGCGAGCATTTCGAAGAAGGTGAAAATGTTGATCCACCACGTTTTCATTCATTCATCAGTTGTTTTTTAATTGAAGTTTGCCATCCTTGTTAAATAGGACCAAGGGTCAGCTGAAGTTTCCGACCCGTGGAGAGCAACTTGCGCTCGAAAGAGTGGTCGAGGTTGTTGTCCATGCAAAGCAGCAAATAAGAATTGTAACGCAAACTGTCATTGTCGTTGACGTTCCCGCAGTGAAGTGACTAAACTTAAAATAATTAAACGTCCGGCAGTCCGGTATTTTTCCATATTTCTCTTCGAAATCCAAAAAATATTTATACGAAAATGTTCTACCTTTTTTTACAATCCTCAAGCGCTTCCAGGCGGCCTAAAATTTCGAACTTGATGTTTTTCGCTGACCCTGTATACAGAGTACGAAGCCATCCAAGCGCTTGACACTTAAAAACTTTTCAATGACACGGCTGGACACGGTCCTCAAATAACTCCATATTTCTCTTTGAAATATACCAATTTTTCGTTGGAAAATATTCTACCTTCATTTACAATCCTCAAGTGCTTCTAGAAAGTGAAAAAATTCCAGCGTTGTCCGTTTCGCTGACCCTTGCACACAGAGTGCGAAGAGATTCAAGCGTGACACTAAGAAAATTTTCACCGGGCAGTCTGACATTTTTCCATATTTCTCTTTGAAAAATATTAATTTCTATTGGAAATATTTTATCTTGATTTAGAATCCTCAAGTGCTTCTAGAAAGTGAAAAAATTTGAACGTTGTCCTTTTCGCCGACTCTGTTCACAGAGTAAGTACGAAGAGATCCAAGCGTGACACTTTTTCTTCGGATTCTTCCAGACAAAATTCAAAATACTGCAAGGAAACTGTAAAATGACGAACGGCAAATTTGTTTACCGTAACACAGTTGACTATATGTCCTGGATGGCTCTTGAGAAAGACGATTTTAGAAGGTTATCAACGATCTGGGAATTTCGTGGGTCGCGGCGCGCGTTGCATCAAGGTTGGAAATGGCCTTTAAACAATTCAGTCAACCAAAGCCAATTATATTGTCACGTAAGTGTCTCCCATTCATCAAAGCTGAAATTGGTCAGGAATCAGTGAAAGGATATTGCCTTCCTGGTAAGGTTTAACGTGAAACAAAACTTCGTCTTCTGACATGCAGATAGAAACTTATCCAGGCTGAAAAATGTGTACAGACACGTTCCTTCCCGTGTCAATTATAAATCCCTTACACAAGTGTTTTTCATCGTTTGATAAAGATAATAACGGAAAACATAATTTTCAAGAGATTTTGATATTCATCATGAGGTTGATGTTTATTATCTTTTCCTTAATATACACTTCCGATTGATTTGATACATCCAAAACAGAAATACGTAACACTCATTTTTAAATAATTGATGACAGGTGCCCTCCGTTTAGTTTATGTTTAGTTTAAGTTAAATTTTCTACTCTTCTTTTGATTTTCACTTGTTTATTGACAATGTTCTCTGACTGTTCAGTTCACCAAGTTGAGAGGTGTTTGGGGGGCAGCACTCGACAGCCACACGAATTTGTGAAAGAGGTCTCCCCTTAGACAGGTCCGCTTCTCGATCATCAGTTACCTTTTTTCATTATCCACCTGACAAATAGCACATTCATCGAACGCCAAAATAAATCTTCTTAGAGGCTGCAGTGTAGTATTTGTCTCGGGTAAAACTTCCTTGAATAAGGAAGAACTTGTTTGTCATCAGGATGAAAAAAAGACAGTAACTGTACAGAAGGGTGACAATCAACTAATTTCATTGAAAAATGAAAAGTGACAGGGCAATGGTAACTTCTTAACTTCTTATGCTTGGTCATCAAGCTTTTGATTAGGACTTTTTTCGTGTATTCGCTCGAGAATTATTGAGCGTGCTACCTTAATCTGAGAATCATTGGGAAAGTCCCTACAAAAACGTTGAAACAGGTGTATTTTTAATCACCAATTGAGACCTCCTGATAATTTTCCTTTAAAAAAATTATGGTCATCTGTTAAACTTCTTACGGTAACAAAATCAGAGAAATGGTACCAGCTGACTTTCTTAAGCTCGTCATAAATCAGAGCGCTAGCATATTCAATGTATGCCATAATTAACCATGCATCTATTAATACATAAATATATTTGAACGCCACTTCCACACTTTAACCCTTTATTGAATTTTGTTCTACACAGTCGTGAATACTTTTGGGAACTGGAATCATTTAAGACCGCATCTTCTTCTTACCAAAGCGAAGCTAGCCACGTGAACGACACATTTTGGGTTTAATCTCCGCGTACTTTTGACGATATTTGTTCCTCACAAAGCAATTGACAGCTTCAGTATTACACTTGCACAGTTCTTTACGACAGCGATCATAACTTCGGTATTTGAAAGACGCTGAAAGAATAAAAAAGTATTGACGATGATAGCAATAACGATGCTTATTATGATGACGATGACATAACTAACAACGAAATATTCAATGTAGAATTGAAAACTTTTTCAAATTACATCCTCGGGCCTTTAACCTTATCAACTTGCAATGGAAGCCGCAATCAACGCCTTTGTAATAAGTTCGTCATAAGAGTCTCACTTTTGACATTTGACCATTTTACAAAAACGTTTCTGCTGAAGCCTGATAGTGAATTCATTATTATCATCATATATTTGAAAGATTTCTGCGTAAAAAATTTAGGTAAAAAGTCTCTTTCTCTACCAAGTCAATAGAGCCGGTTGGTTATCTAATTAGCCATCCTAGGTGGGAGTTTTGAGCTTACCGCATTTGAAAATTTTTTTTCCTCCACTCTTGGTCAATCCTGCTAAGTAAGGTATGTCAAATGGTGCTCCAATTTTTTTGAACGGGCAATACTTAGACTTCGTAAGTTTACCGAGGCAGATATTGCGGATGCGGCAACAACTGGAAAACAAAATAGATGGTTTCATGTCTTTCTACTGAGTGCTACAAAACCAAAACCGTGTCATGCATATTTGTTTGGATAAACAGTTTCGAGAATTTGTTGAATGTGGATCTCGAAACGACGAAGCTTACCATAGAGTCTCTATGGCTCATTGAAAGAGCGTCAGCTATCGGACCCGGAGCCGAGTCTGACATTCGATTTTTCGTGTGGACTTAGAATATTTGTCCCACGCCCGTGGCAAAACGAAATAACATCTTTCTCTATTTCCCTACCGAGCTAAAGGATCGCTCGGTAGGGAAGTTCTATCCATACAATAAGTTCTATATAAGTTGTATAACGTTCTATTCTCACAATAAAAGATACCACCAAGGGCCAACGGTGAATCATGTGACATAGGTAAACATTGAACGGCACGCATTGTCAGAACAATTGCAGGGGGAAGTAAAGCCAGACTATTGTAATCCTAGATTAATCACGAACCTCAACTCAATATTATTCCATTAAAACCAAGTCCAAATATGCAAATAGAGTTTCAAACTGACCATAATCAAACGGAATGAATCATATTTTTTCATACCGCGGAGATTTCGACTGACCAACCTCAACGTTTCATGGTCGTTGATAACCCAATAGCCCTTGCTATAGGGCGAACGAGCTAACGGATAGATTAAAAAGCAACATATACGTTTGACAAAGAGAAGAAAAAGCAAACCAAAGTAATACAACAACATTGCATTATTCATTTACTTATCTACTTTGCCCATGACGCGCAATCTTCTATATCGACGTTTTCCACCTCTAGGACCTTTTCGAAGTCTACGTCTACAATGACAGCCATAATCTTTGTAGTCAGAGGGATGTCTGCCAGTGCCCAGGAAAATCATCAACTCGTAGGATACAAAACCCCTTCTGAACCTCGTTTTCCCTTTATCTTCTGTTTTGAAAAACAATTTATTTTATTGTTGTCACACATCTAGATACACACTGTTCCTTTCCATGAAGTTCTCTGTGTGGGGAGATAAGGCTTATTCTTATTTTTGCAATTGTTTTGAGGAGAAAATTATGGGAAAATTTCCACTTGACTTGGTATTATATTTTATTGAGTAGAAAAAAAGTGATAAAAGTAAATACAAACATTATGTGTGTCACTTACTTGTGCAACTTACTCTGATGACTGGAAAAACCAGTTCGCACCAAGTTTGGCATTATGAAAAAGGATTCCTTCATAATTTTACAGCGCAATAAAGAGCTTAATGACTTTGCGGCAAATGAGCGAAATTGAAACGATCTTAAGTGACTTTTAGCTCATAGTGTGTCATTTGTTTGTGATCTCAAAATCCTAGTTCCTCTCAGCCTCGAGGTATTCTTTGTTTGTCTTTTGTTTTTCGAAAAAACAAAAATATTTTTCAAAGGAGGAAATGGGGGGAGGGGGGAGGTTGGGTAAAGATATAAGATTGCCAGTGGATATCTTGTTTTTAATCTAAAGCAATCTGCCCTTCTCCAAAGTGGAGGACGAAATCAACAATTTATTAAGAGGGTAATACACGGGAAACTATATTATTCCGCCTAGTGTGAAAAAAAAATCAGCATTCTGGTTGAAAATCTGTGCGATGACCGCATAAAGAACCCTTATGTAGCTAATAGCGATGAATAATTTAATGACATGTATATGTATGGACTTGGTTAGTGATACTTTTAAGTGTGAAAACAATTCATTTCGATCAGAATTGTAATATCCTCACCTAAAACATCTGACGTTTCTTCCACTTCCTCACCGGACTCAGCTTCTAAGACGTTGGTTTCGTTTTCATACTGGTCAAGATCTTTAAAAAGAGAATTCACAGTTATAGTAACAGTTACAGTAGAATTGAGGGATCCCTCCGAGGAATGCTTACAAAGTATGAACATAGACGCAAAGAGTAAATTATGCCGGGTTTATAACGTACCTTATACTCAACGAATGCCCCGAGAAATGGTGCCACACGGGAAAAAAATTCCCAAATATTAATCATTTCATTGATGGCCATTGGTTATGAGGAAACGAAGGGGATGCTTTGAACGCCGAAAACAATAAGAACAATTTTATTTGGCCAACATGAATCAAATTTTGTGTTTAAAAATGCAATTTAACTAAGTGGTCAGTTGCGCAAGTTTTTTGCGCAGGTTTTTGATCAATCAGGACGCTCGTAGTATCTCTACTCTTTTTCAAGAAAAAAGTCATTTACCTGTTAAACAAAGAGAGTGTTGTTTCATCAACGTATGACTGAATAGCGAAATTGCCGGGAAATTGTTTTCACCACACACTTATCTTGTATTATCCTCTTAAAGGAGCTATTTGTTTTGACGAAGTAGTTTTGTTGTACACTGATAGCTGAGAATGTTGACAGTTAAATTTCCCTCATGTGATGAAGTTCTTGTAGTTTCTTGGCCAAACATTCCGCCAAAATTATCAATCTATGGCTCAAATAGCATACTTTTTGGTATATTTTGCTAAATGGAAGCTAAAAGTGCCGAAGACAATAATCATTGCAATGTGTTTTGTCGGAAATTGGTACCGGTCGGAAACTAAAAAAAAAAGTTTAATAAATGTTTTAACTAATGAAACTCCATGAGCAGCCGAATTACTGTAAAAATGTCAGCATCCATGGAACAAATTTGAAATATTGTGGCAAGTCGCCCAAAATTGTGTTGTTCTTCTACTTGATATTTTGTAACCCAAATGTTCTAATAATTGTGGTGATAGCGAAATATAAATGTACATGAGAAATGACCTATTTGTCGCCACCGTTAATTGGCAAATTTTCACCGTGAATATTACAATTTGTACATGTAACGAATGTACTAGACCTACATATTTCTCTTATTTTGTTTATTTATGACTTTATAACGATCCTGTGGTCTTATAAAAGCTTGAAGCTAAATGGATTTATATTTTTGTTAATACTGTTTTGTTTTGACATACTTTTCCATATGGAAAAGTAGCATCAAAACAAAGACATATTTAACAATGACCGATATGACACAATCTACTGAGCTTCAAGCTTTTATAAGACCAAAGGATGGTTAAAAGATGATAAAACCTTGTGTATTTGTGTTTTCCTTGAGAAACTCAAACCGTAAAAGGTCTTGATAGCGACTCGATACATGAGGTCACACAACTCGGTAGTAATCACGGCGCAAATTTGCATATTTGTACGGTCTAACATAAAAAATTATTTCTTGTTTATTTAAAATATATTTTACAAAAAAACTACAAATTATAAGAACATATTGGGCTACAAAATATAAAAGTAGGAGTGAAAACAAATTTGGGTGACTTGCCGCTGTTTGTTTGATGCATGCTGACATTAGCTCCTAAAATGCTTAAGGCTTATGAACGAGCAATGATGTTGGAAGTAACGTCCTCAGCTAATAAGCTGAATAAGTAATTATAAATTTCAGCAAAGGTCTTTGTTATTATGCTGAGAAGTACAATATAGAGGGAATGAAGGGGAATAAAGAAAGCTGTAACCTTATGTAACTTTACCTGTATCTAGTTGGTTTTCATCAATCAAAACCGGCTCTGTGTCTTCGTCTCCGTCTTCACTCTCTTCCTCAGCGCTTCCAACTGCTGTTTGGTCTGGATTTATCTCTACATACCGAGAAAAGTAAACCAGTAATCAGAAATACATCAAGGCAGGTGGTTTCTTGTGGGAATAGCTAGTAATTAAATTGAATTTGGATTTAAAACAACATGACATGTTTCCTAATCGAGAGATATCGTCATTACCAATGTAAACCTTGCTGTCAGCTTAGTTGGAAGCAAGGGTAACAAAGGAAAGTGTAAAGTACTATACATTCCGACAGGGTAACAGAAATGGCACCTTACCTTCGAGATCGAGGCCAGATTCACCAAAGGCACTTTTCACATGGACGGCTCCGAAGAGCAAGAGTATCACGAAAAATAACTTGATTGTCATTGTAACCCTGCAATGCGATTGGCTTTATATTAGTTTAAAGTCAATTTGAAGAACAAACAGTATTTTTATCTAATCACCTAACATGAGAACAGACTGACTGAAAGACTATTGACTTCCTTTGAAAAGCTGACACGTTCCTTTACACACACGATATACTACGAGCACTTTTGCTAGACAATAACTTATTGATAGAGAAAACATTTATGGTCAAATCTTAGAAGCAAGTAATCTTTTGTGATTCCCTTTCTTGGTTTCTGAAAGATAGCCCTCATTCCTGGCCCAAGGTTTACCTAGCACACTAACCACTGATAAACCAAATGAGGAATTATTCTTGGCTGTATTAATTTTCATTGATCTTGTCGTACACAATTAAGCCTGGGCTGTACCAGTGTTTGTCAGGCGGACACGTTAATCTACAGTGTATATCATGACACTTTTGCGATTTGCTTCGGTCTAGATGCTCTCGCTCGTTAGTGCTTAACGATCTTTATCGTATGAAAATAAAAACGGACAAAAACCGAAATGTTTTCTAAATAATACGTTCGAATTTAATAGTATTTAATCAGTTCAATTAGAACTATAAATTCAAAGAAATTAACACTCACCCCAAAATGTGTCAATCTTTGTATTGATTTCGACTTCTTGAGATGGTAGCTGTAAATATATAACTCAAACGTTGAAATATGAATTATATGGACTATATGCAATCGTACAGGGTGCCAAAGGCGAAAAGCATAACTTACCTCTTAGGAGAATCTGTTTGAATGAGAAACTGTTTCAAATTTCCTGAATAAAATAATAAATTCTTGACCTCGTCCCGTAACCTTTGGTAATAACCTATTAGACAGGTTGTAAAAAAAGCTGTATTCTTATTTGCCCATAAACAGCTACCTGGTATCCGCATTAATCGGCCACACGTTAATGTCAGAACATCATGATCGCAAACAAGCGAAGAAAGCGATATCGACTTGTGGAAAAAAGAACAAAGAGACATGATTGCACTGATTCAAGGAGCGTCACATCGTTCTAAGTTAAAGATTGGTAAGCAGTGACATTTGCTGAAGCTTACAAAGAAAAGACGTGGGAAACGTATAGAATACTTCTCCTCGTAGTTCACAAACAATCTAAGAAAGTCATTAACAAACCAAAGGGATGATAAGTAAAACTCCACCCTAATTAAATTAACTTAAGGTTTGATCACAGGAGTGACTTGATGGAACTAGAGCCAGGGCGTGGCAAACTTAATGAAATTTTGTTTGTTTAAGATTGAAATACAACCTTCTGGCTTGCAATAAATATAGAATAACTTTTAAATGTCTTTAAACAATTCAGTCGACCAAAGCTAGTTATATTGTCACGTAAATGTCTCCCATTCATCTAAGCTGAAGTTGGTCAAGTCAGGAATCAGTGAAAGGATATTACCATTCCTGATAAGGTTTAATGTGAAACAAAACTTCGTCTACTGACATGCAGACAGAAACTTATCCAAGCTGAAAAATGTGTACAGACAAGTTCCTTCCCGTGTCATTTATTTATTCCTTACACAGGTGTTTGTCATCGTTCGATAATGATAACAACAGAAAACATAATTTTCAAGAGATTTTGATATTCATCATCGGGCTGATGTTTATCATCTTTACCTTAATATACACTCTTTTGGTTGATTGATATATCCAAAACAGAAATATGGAACACTCATTTCTAAATAATTGATGACAGGTGCCATGCGTTTAGTCTATGCGTTTCAACCTTACTTTACGGGTTATCACATTTCTTGCATATGCCATCATGGTTACTAGCCACTGAATTGTAATTTGCTTCTGCAAATATCTGGTAGAAGACAAATAGCGAATTGCACAACAGAGTTTGGTTATGTGAAAACCGGTTTTGCCTTCACAAATAAACGGACGGACGGGGACAACTCTTAAAAACTCCTTCTGGGTAAAGGCTTTCCTTGGGGGGCACTCGCTGGCTGCGGGAAGGACCGGAATCTATTACGGCTGCTGACTATCCTTGAGAGAATAGGGACCTTAAGCAAACCACGACGGCGACGGCAACGAGGACATGAAAAAACAAAAGATCTAATTGGCAGAACAATAGCTCAGCACGTGCGTTTTAAAACTTTGTACATTTCCTAGCCGTCCTATGCAAAACAACAACGTGAAATCACCACAACTTGCGTCCTCTGCGAACCGAAACCGCGACGGCAAATCATTTTAATTTCCATTTGGAACTCAAGGCTTCTCTTATACGTTATGCTGAAGTAGAGGTGTGGCGCCGTATGAGACGGTAAACACATGCAGCCATTGTTTAAATTTAATTAACTAACAACAACAGGGTTGTAGATCCAACGTAGATTTATTCTGCAAGCTCTACTACAATTTTGACCAGAACGGACCTGGCCAGGGCTGGTTCGACCCTCCTCTTCTCTTCTTCTCTTTTTTTTTTTTTTTTTTTTTTAAGCTTTACAAAACAGTTCTATTTAAACCTAACGTACTTGGATAAGGTAATGCTACGAATAATCTAAAGAGTCATTTAATCTACTACACTATTGGCTAAGCAGGAATTTCGCCTTTTACAACATTAATTACTTTCAAAGAGTTCCGGTGGATGACAACTACGCAAAAGGACATGACAGGTGGCTGTTACAGTTTAACACTAATAACAACTGTTTACGGGTGACTGAAGGAGAACTGGTAGCGTTTACACTTTGCTGAACTAAGCTTTCTACGTTGAATATTATATTTTTTAAGCGCAAGCATGAAAGAACTCGATAACTAAAAAATCCTATCGTTAAAGTTATCCGACAAATAATTGATCACAAAAGGTTTACTCTTAAGGTCAAATATGGCCATTTACGTCTTCAGTTAGAGTTGAAACAAACATAGACTGGGATTTCCTAACCTTCACTATAGTTTTAAATTAAGCTTTTCATTTGAACAAAGTGCTATTTACAACCCATGTATTCCTCTCCTATGTATCTTCTTGATCATAGTTTACATCTATTTCTAAAGGTTATTCTGTGACTTTATAAGAATCGAACAGCAGTGAAGACCCATTTAAGGTACTTAAGGGAGGAAAAAGATTGCAATGAATCCAATTTTAAAAGTTGTTTTTATTAATCTTTACGACTGCAAAGAAAAATTTTTTTTTCAACCTGCTGAAAAATTTCGTTTCAGATCTTTCGTGGCGAGAGTCAAGGTGATTGTCCTCATTCTATTGGGCACCATTACCTTGCAAAATGCTCAGGCAGAATCTGGGTCCAGCTTCGAAGGTAAAATGTTTGGCCGCAAAGATATATTTAACACCCAGTATTCGTGTGCAAGTTAATTCCCTTCCTTTAACTGATACGTTTAAAAATTTAAAAAAAGACGGTTGGAAGATGATTTTCAGCCTCGAGGACTTCGATCCCATGCTTTGAATTAAAAAAAGTTTCTGAAAATTTTTTTTCCAGAGGGGAACATCTTTGGAAGCGTCGAGGCCAATTCCCAAATAGCGGATGAAAATGAAGAAGACTCACCAGAAGCTCTGGGTGCGTAAGTAAGGCTATGATCAACCTGGTTATTGTTTCTACTCTATCTTGCTTTTTTTTCTCAATAGACGTATTTGTGACCTTAATCAATAATTTTTAAGAGCATCTAATTATTGTGCTTGAGTGATGGAAGGCCAAAGCGTTTCTCATAAAAAGTTAGTCTGCTAAATCTTTAAAAAACAGGTCGATGAGTAATTTTGAGATCAAAAGACCTATTCAAAACCTTGTAATCCTTATGGAGGACAAGGAAAAGGAAAACCTGTTGATCGAATTGATGGGTAAAGACTTGTTCAGGTGATGTTAGTGAGATGATAAAAGTATAAAAGAGGTAAGTTTTAAAGAAATTGTGGTGTTGCGCTAATGGGGGAGTATAACAAGGTAATTTAGTATTATCAACTGAGATGGGAATGTAAATTGGCACCGTTAAGAGTTTAAGAGGTGACGTTTCGAGCGATGGCTCTTCGTCAGAGCGAAACTTCTAAATAATAAATGAATAATCTTGATGATAAAAGGATCCACAAATAGACGATCAGTTGAACGGCTCTACGTTAAGAAAGATATTATGTTAACCGAAAGATTGTCTCGTGGCATTGGCTTCCAGGTGTTGCAAGCGACGAAACGATTGCTACTGTAGACTCCAAAAGGCCCAGTACCGCCCTTTCAAAAAGGAAGTATTTCCTAGGCCGTATGTAACACGTATTCCCCCAGATGGGACTTAAAATCATTTAGATGTGGTAAGTTTAAAATTTATCAGTGCTTTTTTTAGTATTATCACTTAAAGAGGTTATAAAAATTGTAAATTTTAAATACATGTTTGAATAAGAAAAAGAACGAACGACCAAACTTACGAATGAAGATATGAATAAATACATGTAGATGATTAATTCAATAGCGAGTAAATAAAGGTGCAATTAACAAATAATGATGGCTAGTTGTCGTTTCAGGTTTTTTTCTTTGGAGTTTTCAATGCTTTTATACTTCAGTTATACAATATTCCTGCCTGAGGAATTGATTTCTGAGCTTAACAGTTGTTAGATTCCATTAGACCCTCATTTATGAAAAGCATGATTTTAATCTGTCTTTGCCATCTACTTCCAGTCAAAAAATATCCCTTGAGATCTTATCGCAGATGTCGCCTTAAACTTTGTCTGTGTGACACAACGGTCACGAATTGTATCTAAAGGCTCAAGAGGAGAGGCTCCTCTAGAGAAATACATTTGAATTACGACTAATAAAATATTTGATAGAAGAAAAAATATAAATTTCCTATAATTTTCTCTTGCTGTTAATTCTAGGGAACTATATGTGTTCATGTAATCTTGGAGGAATTTAATGTTATGTTAAGTAATTCAAGTTGTATACAATCCTTCTATTTTCTGCTGCCTGTCTACTGTTGTTATTCACTGTTTTTACGGGATTAAGTACCGCCCCATCCTTAAGTTATTGAAAAGTCATGAAAAGATACATCGTAGAACAAGCCAGTGCAAACAGCGAGTCCAATTTCCCCATAAAAAGTGGAACACTATAAAAACCTATTACTATATACTATTCTAGCCATGTTGACTAATTTGGCATATGAACCAAAATGTTTACCTGCCTGCTGGTGCAATTTAGTGGAAGTCATGTTTTTATTCAAAACTGATAGTGGTTCATAATCAGAGCAGTATGCGAATAAAAACTTTATATTTTGCGTTATATTGTCTAACCGAAAGCAAATTTGAAGCACCTGTACGGGTACGAAGTACTCTAACCACGAAGATCAGTCAGATCTGCCCAGTGCTTTGTCACAGCTTGGTTTTTCACAACTCGGACGGGTCATTCTATTAAACTATCGTACTTTTCTGTACTTAGATATTCGGGTTGTGTGAGGAAGTATTATCTTTTGTCTCACGGTAATCATATATTATATATATGGGTATTTTTGCTGGTAGTGATACAAGACAAAATAGGGCAATCTGTATACGTGGTTAGATGTTTCCATAACTCCCTTTGTGTATTCGTCTTACGCAGAGTTTGGTACCCACGTCAAAACATTTGCATTAATTACATTAATTTGATCAGTATATGGCATCCTCTTTGATTGCATTAATTGTTTTATGACCTCAGCAAAAGTTATGATTCGATACTGACCGAGGCATTTTATTGGTAGTCTCTCAGGACCTTATTCTCACTATTTCTGAAATTTCAACTCAACGCTGAAACCGTTCTTGAGATTTTTGAAGACGTGTATGCTTCCTCTTCCAGGAGGAGATGAATTCACACGCTTTACTTCAACACGCGGTTGATATCCAGCCGGAGATACATGCACTTTGAACGCTTCATCAGAGAGTTTCACGTTCACATCTACTGATAAGTTGACCTCAACCTCGATATCACCACTTTCAAGTTCATAGAATTCCTCCTTGTTGATGTCACCAGATGTTTTCGGCGTCTTCCCGACGTGAAGGGTAGCTGATGCTTAAAAAGAGGGTTGTTGGATTGTCTTCGACCATGATTCGACACTGTTTGGTCACTTTGGTGATTAAACCATCTCTAGGGAGTTCTGCTGTGGGCTGAAAGATAACATAGCCGTATAGTGGTCTCGTGGCTGCGTTAGTTTTGGGAGACATTCCAAATTTTTCCACGTGTGCTTTCTCGTCCTGCTGAAGAACCATATACAGCTTAAAATTTCCTTCCCTGTCCTGACGATTCCAGAGAGCGCTGGCAGTGCTTGTGTAAGAGTCTATTTTCACCAACACAGCGTACTCGTACTTGGCATTCGTGGAATTGTGCTCTAGCCAGGCTGTTGCATAGATACCGCTGGAGCAGACAGCAGCTACAGTTTGCGAACTTTGAATCTGGACATGTAACTTAAGATCAGATGCACTTGATCCTGGAATGTAATAACTGTTGCCTTTGGTGTCGACTAAAGTGGTATACCCATCTTTGGTGTTTTTAGAAAGGGGGTTTACAGCTTCGAATAGATCTGAGCTGTCTTTGGTCATGCCGTCCATTTTAATGGAAAATTTAGATGCATCTCTAACTAGTTTGTCTTGAAACAGTGTCGTTCGCGCCTTGGTTGCTGTTCCGCCATTATCTATTTTAATGTTGCTTCCAAGACAGACTAAAACGTTTTTGAAAAAGAAGACAGACTTCTAAAAGTGAAGTTTAACTTTTGGATACGGATGATCCTCGTAAAAGAATTGATATTCTGTTTGGTGGAAGTCCATGCCGAAAACTCCGCTGGATAACGGCTCCGGTCCTTTATAGGAAACCCCACCGGCATAGGAAGGTGGCCTAATCTGCCATAAAGTCAAAGTCATCGTCGTCGCTCCAGGAACTTTTGTCCAGTCCCATCCGTTTTCTATATCGTGAGCTTTTAGCGCCTCTTCACTATTCGCTATCAACATTGAACCATGGCTTTGATAGGTACCAAAGGCATTTTCTGGTGTTTTCTTCTTTGTGGAGCCCTCAAAGTCCCAGACACAAACCTATCGAAACCTTTCACTGTGACAGCCCAGTCCTTACGACGATGTATTGAGAGAGCAGCAAAGTTCTTGGACCAGTGACCTTCAGGAGAGGGTTCATAGGTTGAGGCTTTCGACTTGAGTTGTAATGGAGGATGAATTATATCGAAAGTATTATTAGAGATTTCTTTGGAATTCTATTTGAAAGTTCTTCTGAATAAGAAACACACTTCATGTTGTCGATAAAAATTGTTTTTCAGTCTAACCAGTGTTGAATTTTGCAACAATACTCATGTGACAGACACAAAAATGAATGATATAGAGAATAATACATGGGCGCTCGTATATATGGAATTTCTCTTGATATCATACGAGTGAGATGTCGAGTTGAACACAAGAGAAGAAATTTCAGATCTACAAGCAATCATCTATTTTTTCCAGGGCTGGAAATCCTTGTATGACAACGTAGCTTATATGATAAATTATTTTTACAACCCTATTGCTTCAGGTGCCTGTATCGAAAACTCATTCTTTATACGTAGGTCATTTAAATTAGTAAGTTTACCGCACTCATTATCTTCAGGCATCCAAGACTGTTCATGTACGATTTACCCCTCTTAACCCGTCCATCTTCTAGGTACTTTTTCACGTTTTTGTCCATTGCTTCATACAAACGCAGAAACATGCCTTCTTCTCTGGTGTTTGGAATACTTATTCCTTCGGTGGAGTCAATGCCAGTGACTGGGGTGAATAGGAGACACTGATGCATACATACGCTAGAAGGATACTTATCAGAGCCTCCTTTGAAAAGTCTGGAAAAGACTCAAGGGCATTCCAACGTTTCTTCATCTCTCCCATGAAATCATAAGTGGTTTGTGTCTCATCAGCAAATCAGTTATGTAAGCGACTTTCAATGTGAGCAAGGTGAGAAGTCTTTGAAGAATCGACAGAGGTCGGAAGAGCAGATGGTGTCTGCTGACTCCAGCGATAAGTCTACTGCCAAAAGTTACTGGAATCGTACTTTGAACCAAATTTCGTGATAGTTGGAACAATCTTATCGCGAGATTGTTTGGACATTTTTGCCACAAAGCCAAGTAAATCTATGTAAATGGTATCTTCATGTTTTAGAACGAAGTCCATCCCTGTGATTTTTGCAGAACCTTTGAGGCTCTTTTCCTTTTCTTTGCATTCATCGAATGACATCCATATTCCTCTCCGGCCTGAGAATCCCAGATTGATTTCAAAAGATCCTACCCGCGTAACCTTTTTCTTCTTTTTTTTTCTGCCAGCCTTACTTCCATCTTGCTTCCACTAGAAGGAGTATCCTTGTAGATCCACATTTGAACACCTCCTCCTCTGAGTTTCTTTCCCTTGATGTGAGCCGATTTTGGAAGCTTGTACCTTAACTTAGATTCTCCATCAGCACTCGTTTCCCATTTTAGTGATGTTGTCCCGTGTTTGGCCACTGATGTCGAGAAAGAAATCTTGCCTTTTTATTCGGCGGCGTAACGAGGCAGCTTTGCTGGGCTAAGTCTTCGAAATCTAGCATGTCGCCACAATTGTCTCCTGATAGTAGCGTAACAAATGTGGATCATTTTTTGGAAATAAAACATTGTACAAGGTTAAAAAAGTTTAGGAAGAATATCACCTAATTTTCTTCTTGACAATAGATTTAGATTTACACATGCCTGATGAGATTGATGGGACTTTCTATTTGTTTTAGTGTTTTAATTGGTCGAAATACGTGTTCGCTTTAGGAATTTCTATTTGTTATAGTGTTTTAATCAATAGCAACAAATGTTCACTTTAGAGAGTTTCCTTAACAAAGACTGAAAGACCCATGATTCTACGCCATTTACTTGTGCGAAGATAATGAACGTGTCAATTGCAATCCATACCCAAACAAATCACATTCTTTGGCTTAAGTATGTTACAATAGACATTGTTGTATACCTAGACTTTCACTCCACAAAACGAGCACTCTGATTGGTTGATTCTTGTTCACGTGCCTCTGATTAAATTCAAATGTATCCCAACCGGGATACAATCGCGCAGTTGTTGCCCGCGCGCCGAATACAACAGCATTTTATTGCCATATAATTGTTTACGGGAAGGTCTAAATATATAACAAAGCACTTAATGTATAGTTCCTCGGAAAACTAGTTAGTTCTGTTTTCCCTCGAGTCCTGATGTTTCCCTTGACTTCGTCTCGTGAAACATCAGGACTCTCGGGAAAACAAAACTGACTGTTTCAGTTGTTTTACCTTAAGTTTATATTGTTTACTTGTAGCCTCGTTTCGTTGTCAACTTAGGCGAGCCTACTAGGTGGCGGATACAAAACAAGACTTGGTTTCTTGGGCCGTGTGATTTCTTCGTAACTAAACGAAATAACATATATACCAGCCGCCTGATCTATTAACAACAATGCCAGACCAGGTAGGATGAGAAATGAACATCCTGTAGATCTTCTCCTCACGGGCATTATCCCTGAAAGAGAAATTTATAAGAGAGACTCACCAATCAATTTAACTGGCTATCAACCGAGATAATAACAGTAATTCAGAGAACAAATAAACATCAAGGATTATCATTTCATATAATGCGTAACAACTCTAAATAAGCAAAATGGCCATGGTGGCCGGCCGGCCTCTAGATGTTGTATGAAAGTATCATTAACTAAGTTGATAACGTAAACTTAGAGTTTCTAAAAGTACGTTTTAAGCGTTAGCCTTTCGTCAGAGCGAATGGCAAAGGGCTAAGGTTCCGACGGGCTCTGCCGAAGGACTAACGCACGTAACGTCAGCTTAGAAACTCTTGACGGTGGCCAATTTACATTATCAACTCAGTTCATAATACTAAATAATCTCTAGTTGTTGTGGTTTTGTAGTAATTACAATAAGGGGATTTCCTTGAGTCAACTAACTCAATTTCAATATTTTTCTATTTGCTTCATACATGTACATAAGTTGTAACTGGCATCTGCCAACGGAAGTCTACGCTTTATTCTCCTCTTCGATATTCGGTGTATGTCTAATTACTAATGAAATGAAACAATTATGATAGCTGTGATAAATATCTCGGCTAGATGTAATGCTTAATCCCGTTTATAAGTTGAAGCAAGTAGGTCTTACCAATAATCCTAATTTACTGGAGAATTGCCGTGACTTTCTATTAAAAAAAGGAGAGTGACCAATGTTGATTAAAAAAAATCCACATGGAGAGTATCAAGCGTTTAAGTTTTATGGAATTCATATCAAATCCAAACAAATCCTGTTAGCGTCGTCTTCATTAAACCACATATTATATTCTCGCTCTGCAAGTCAACTTTTTGGTACATTTTATTGAAAAAAGCGTTATAATATTCACTATGACTGATCAGCTCACCTCAGAAGAACTAATAGCAAGAACTCATTTGTTACATAAGGTAACCTAGGGACGTATTACTGTCAAACAAGAGAACAGGAGTGTACCAAATAATTAAAAGGTGACCTTTTTGAACACGTTAGTATACCAACTTCAACACCAAGTCCAAGAAGAAATGCTTTGACCAATTCTCTTTCACTATAAGATATTCTCGGTCGCTCATTGCATTTCTATGGAACACGCGCATCATCTGCAGATGCATGAGGGATCTCCCTCAATGTACATTGTTTGCTTTATTTTACCAGACTTTGGAGTAAGTTATCTTTTTTGGATTATTAAAAGAGATCTCAATCAACTTGAATAAGCGTAGTTTTATTGCAAGAAACATTGATTTAAGCTGGATTGTTTCGAACGTTTTCAGTCTCCAGTTTGTTATGCGGCTGAAAATGTCAAAATTGGTTTCTGTGGAGCTAGTTATTGACTATTGCTGTTTGCTAAAAGAATTTTAGGAATAATTTTTCTCAGTTATTTACTTTTACACAAGGCAGTCACCTGCCCAACTTTCATTGAAGCTTAGACATCAAGAATATCCTAATATAAGGTGTGCCATTTCATGGACACGGAAGTGTTAATAGAATAAATATGTTACCTTACTTTGAATTCTAGGAAATCTTTGATGTTATTCTCGCCTCTGAAAATATTTTACACCAACTCCAAACTCTTTGTGCTTGCGGATCACTTTGTGAGCGCTTGTCGGTCTTTCTTGGCACCTTTTCTCAAGGGGGAACTTCCATTGGTACAGGTGGGATTTTTCCTGTCAAATTTTGAGAGATCACCGGCGGAAACATTGTCATTACTCATTGACTTTTCTCGTATGTCTTCTCAGTTTGTGTTACGTTGTGGCTACCATTTGCCATTTGTTAGAAAAGACAGGTACTTGATGGATGTGAAATTATTTTTTCTTCGTGGAATTAAGGGATCTATTCCATCAAGCATATTGAGTTTTTTTTTTAATAAATAGCAAAATTACTATTTTTAAATTATTATTATTTAAGCAAAGTAATAATAATGACGAAAAAAAAGGAGAGACCGTCATTTCACACAGGGATTCATTGAATTGATCCCATCACTCATTTGTCATTAAAAAAATATAGCTTAGAACAAAATGGGTGCCTACGTTACTAAAGAAAAAAAACAATTATCGGTGCGTTGGATAAATAAATTTGTTTCAAGATCAGTTATGCATCCTCATTAAACTGAATGGTTTTCTTCCTCATAACATTTCACATATTTCGGCTAAGGCATTTTGTCTTATAAAGCATCTAGATTTTATTTGAAAATTTTTCCATTTCCTATTGTTGTTCTATCATTCTTCTCGACTTCAAAATGTGGATGACAAAGGCAATTGTCGTATCTGACTTGGAGGAATTTTTTTGTTATCAAACCTATTCGACTACTACATAAAAACTGGTGTACAATAAAATTGACCCACGTACCTTTGCTTATAGTATTGAATTTTCCGCGAGATATTGTTTCAGTTCTCTGTAGGGGCAGAAATATAATTCAAATTAAGAGGATGTATAAATTTTAAAAGCTGATTTGCGTATGAAGATTGTTTATATAGAGATTAGGTGATGACCAACTTACCGAACTTAACCAAGATAGCCGATTGATTGTTCAGTTAAAAAATGAACATCCTACCTTTGTTGGCATAAGGGAAACCTATTAGTAATGTATCCTTTTTGGTATCCAAAGATAAGACGTTCTATTAAAATAAAACTATTTGAAAATGTTTTTGCAATCCAGTCATGGAAATCGTGACGTTCTCTGATCACCTGAGTACCAACTTATAACGAAATCTGTTTTCATTGACAAAGCAGTTCAAGATCACACAAAATTTATTGTCCATGTCTGTTTGTAAAACGGCAATGGGGAAATAATGAACAAGAATTTGGTTTGATATGGAGGAAATTTATATTTTCCGAAAAAACGGACAACTCTCACTAATTTTTTGTGCAAAAGTTGAAATGAGGCTAGCTTGAATTTTTGAAATAAATTCAACGAACTTTAATTTTAAAGATTGACTTTGGAATGGTTTATTGACGGAAAATGTTTTACGTTAGAGTTGGTCAGTTGGCGAGTTATCACCGTGAACTGTATTTAGATAAGACACACTTTCACTAAAAGACTAACTTTTTAATGCGAGAAATGCCTTACTCAAAATTGACAGTATGCTTCTCATTGTCAAGAAAAGAACTTAGTTAAGAGATTTATATTTTTTCAGCTTAAAATATATGGCTTATTGACAAGCGAGAGTTTAAGACGGCTGGATATTTATTAGCAAACACTGGATATTTATTTATTAAGAGAGATTTGTTTATTTCGAGAGTACCAAGAGTGGCCAAGGTACCATCCATGTACGACTGCAAAAAGTAGTATTGGAGATAATTCGCGTAAGAGTCAACATAACCACCTATCTCGTTCGACATAAATTTATCTTATTGTTAGCACATCAGTTACTTTTTTTCACCTGGCTGACTCTAACGAGCTTGCACTCTCTTATCTGGCCTGAGAAAAGATTGCTTTTCTGATTGAAAAATTTGTTGTTCTATCACTGACGGTACCATATTTAAATGTGTCATCACCGTTAGACATCTTGGTAGAGGACAATCAAATATTGGAGGTAGGTAACGAATGTGAATTATTAGGGACAAATCATAAAAATTACATTTTGGTTTTAAAGTTCATTGTTATTGAAGTTAAAATTGAAACATAAGTTGACAGTGGTAGACTGCGTGTTGTCAAAATTTAAAATGAGAAAAAAAAGCGTTTAAAGAAAATGAAAAACTATCAATCTAGTACAATGAGCTCAATATCTCGTACGCTCCTTTATGCTTTTTGATTAAACTATTTGCCATTTGCTTTCGTCTCAAGGACGTTTTTTCCTCTCGCTATAATTCATTCTTCTCACTGAGGTCACCTAAAGCAGGTTAGAGCACTTTGACTCTAAGATTCGCGAATATTTTTTCAAAATCGGGATCATCACTTTCTTAGGCGATACGTTAATTTCATGGAAATAGGATCGTAGAGGTAGAGGTGCGACTTAGAAGTTGTTCGCAACATAATGGAGCTTTATGACTCGAGACAGCTTAATCCAGTTTATCCAGTTGGTAGGGAGCATATAAATGTGCAATAATTTCCCCAAATAATAAAAATTGTACTGTTTATTGTTATTTGAAAACAAAGTAAGGGAAGTCCATGCATGGCGTCAGCTTAAAGGCTGGAGTTCCGAATTCCGATTCATAAGTACGATTACACAAACATTGAAAAATTGAATATTGGATCGTAAATAACTTTTGTATGCCTTGCAAAATATCTTATTTTAAATGTGTGAGCATTTAAGACTCAATTGAACTCTTGTAGAGACATAAACCTTTCGGATTGTTTCTTCAAAGGTTTTCCTACTTTGATCAAAACGAATTTTCGGCTGATTTCGTTTCGTTTCCCCTTTCTCATAAACAATAGCTCGTAACAAAAAACTGAATTTATTGGACTACGACTGAACACTAAAACTCCAAAATTAGGTCAAGGGAAAACGGATATAATGCCATCGTGGATGAACTCTTGTAATCAAATTCAATTCCTATAAACAAGCAACTGCAGTAACGAGACAAATACAAAGACTGTTTTCAGACCGCTACGTTTATTATTTATCATGTGAGATTATGTATCCACATAATTCTTATTACAAGTACTTCAATCCGGATCAACATATGGTGATCGCCATTGAACTAAATAAATTCTCTATAGCATGAATATAATAGGCAAGGATATATCTAAGAATATGAGCAAGTAGATAAATCAATTGTGACCAAGGCAATCTTTTGGAAGTCTTTTTAGACCATATCAGGTTATTTCTCCAATTTCACTTCAACGCTGAATCCATTCTTGAGATTTTTAAATGCAATTATCTTTCCTTTTCCTGGGGGAGGGGAGGAAGCCAGACGCTTTACTTCAATCCTCGGTTGATACCCGGCAGGAGATCCATGTACGATAACCGCTGAATCAGGGAGGGTTGTTTTCACATCCACTGATAAGGTGACCTCAATTTCCACTTCACGACTTTCTAGCTCATAGAGTTCCTCCTTGTTGACGTCGCCTGAGGTTTTCAGCTCCCCGTCGACATTGAAATTCAAGTCAGGGTAGCTGATGCTTAAAAAGACGAATCGGGAATTCTGCTCGACCATGATGCGACATTGCTTGGTCACTTTTGTGATTAAACCACCCTTAGGGAGTTTTGACGTGGCATCAAAGATTACATAGCCGTACAATGGTGTTATGATGGCATTACGCTGTGGTGATATACCAAATTTTACTACGTGTGCCTTATCGTCTTGTTGTAGAACCGAGTACAGCACCCGATTTGAATTCGTATGTAGGCGATCCCAGTTAGCGGTGGCAGTGCTTCTGTAAGAGTCTGTTTTTACAAATACAGCGTACTCGTACTTGGCATTCGTGGAACTGTGCTCTAGCCAGGCTGTAGCGTAGATACCGCTGGAGTCGACAACAGCTGCGGTCTTAGAATTTTGATTTTGGATATGTACTTTGAGATCAGATGCACTTGATCCTGGAATGTAATAACTGTTGCCTTTGGTGTCGACTAAAGTAGTATAGCCTCTTTTTGGGTCTGCAGAAAGAGGGTTTCCAGCTTTACCCATATCTGAGCTACCTTTGGTCTTGTCGTTTATTTTAATGGAAAATTCAGATGCACCTCTCACCAGTTTGTCTTGAAAAAGTGTAGTTTGTGCCTTAGTTGTTCCACCGTTATCTATTTTAATATTACTTCCAAGGCAGACTAAAACATTTTGGAAAAAGAAGACAGATTTCTTAAAGTGAAGCTTAACTTTACGATACGGATGATCCTCGTCAAAAAATTGATATTCTGGTTGATGAAAGTCCATTCCAAATACTCCGCTGGATAGAGGCTCTGGCCCTTTATAGGTAACTCCGCCAGCATAGGAAAGAGGACTAAAATTTCGTGCCTTTTTGAGCCTTATTTGCGATAACGTCAAAGTCATCGTCGTTGCTCCAGGAACTTTTGTCCAGTCCCATCCGTTATCTATATCGTGAGCTTTTAGCGCCTCTTCACTATTTGCTATCAACATTGAACCATGGCTTTGATAGGTACCAAAGGCATTTTCTGGTGTTTTCTTCTTTGTGGAGCCCTCAAAGTCCCAGACAAACCTGTTGAAACCTTTGACTGTAACGGCCCAGTCCTTACGACGATGTATTGAGAGAGCAGCAAAGTTCTTGGACCAGTGACCTTCAGGAGAGTGCTCATAGGTTGTGGCTTTAGATTTGAGCTGTAATGGAAAAATATCTGTTCATTTGAGAGATCTTTTGAATTAACGATGCAACATGAAAAGGTGACAGATTCATCTTTCGCAAGTGGGACTTTAAAGAATACGGCGGTAAGTTAACTCGTAACTTTCACTATATAATTAAAACGATATGTATTCTCGCTTAATGCGAATAGATATCCTGGCCTTCTTTATACTCTTTTCAAGAGTACAGTTTGATATATGTTAGCCCTTATTAGCCCTAAATTATATTCCAATGGATCGACAGTAATAATGATGTTTCACAAATTAAGTCTGTGTGATTAATCATATATTAGCAGCGTATAAAACATTGAGACTAAGCAATTGAAAATCTCGAATCAAATCATCCAGTTGTAAATCAATATTTTTCTTCGATTTCCTACAGTTTTGCGATATTCGTTCTCCAAAATTTTTTTTCTGCCTACATTTTTCTTTATTGTTGTCAATAGTCTACTAATACACCAAAGTTAGACAAAAGAATGGATGAACATCTTTTATCTAAAAACCATCCTATTTTTTAACCACGCTTTTTTGTGTAAGTATTTGTATCAGATAATCATGCTGTTCACTTTGGCCAACCAACATGATTAACTTACCGCATTCATTATTTTCAGGCATCCAAGACTGTTCATGTACGATTTACCCTTGTAAACCTTCCCATCTTCCATATACTTTTTCACATTTTTGTCCGATGTTTCATACAAACGTAGAAACATGCCTGCGTCTTTGGTGTTTGGAATAGTTATCCCTTTCGGTGGAGTCGATGCCAATGACTGGGATGAATAGGAGACACTGATGTACGCGTATGCCGGGAGGATATTTATTAGAGCCTCCTTTGAAAAGTCTGGGAAACGTCCTCCAACACTGCTTGGGGTAGAGTACTTCACGGATATAAGCCTCATTGTTTTGAGAGCCTCAAGTAAATTTCGTTTAGATGCATCTGATAAAGCAAAGTTTGTTCCTTCTAACAGATATTGCACTTGTGCTGCTGTGTGCAAAGCATGTGGAACGTAGGCAGATGCATAGAACGCTTTGTGATGAAAACCGGTATAATCAGGTTTGATGACCCCTCCAAATGCTTTGTTGATACTCAGGGCATTATCCATCCACTTTTTCAAAGCATCCATATCCCTCTGCCTTTCCTTTTTTTCCATATCTGTGGTAGCAGGCATCGCCAAGACAATCATCAGTCGAAATAGCAATATTGTGATCATTCTGTCGGCCGTCGTTCCTTTGAACTCGAATTTTGATTGATAAACTTCTCCAAAATCATTGTACCATTTGGCAGTGTTTATCATATTCACCAATCTGGTTTTATTTCTTGGGTCCTGGTGTAAAGAGTTCTTTAGAAGAAAAAGAGTGTGCATGTATCCAGCACCATCTCGATTCATTTCGTGATCCAGAGAGCCTATTCCACTTCCATCTGCCCATCCTTGATCTTCAATATAATCAAGTAGATTGAGGATTCTCTGAAGGCGTGCTTTGTTGATAAACTGCAGTGATTTACGGACGTTGTTTTCGGTACAAGTTAAAGTGCTGAGATAGTTTCGGAACTCATCCTGTATCTTTGTCCATTTTCCGCAAATCTTTTGGACGGATCGTTGCATCTTGGCAGCATCTCCAGAACACAGTTTGGACTTCTCTTTATTTACTGTCTTAGTTATCTCGTTGGGACGGGACTTAAGGTAATACTCGAGAGCTAGAGGCAACATAATACGCATAATAGGAAAGCTGAACTTTCTGGTTGGATCAGTTGCTGAATATGTCCTCGTCCCCATTTTACAGTTACGACAAAATAATGGAGGAGCGGTGATCACAATTTTAGTGGAGCCAGGAGTACTTGAATCGGGCTCACTTGTAAATGTTAGTCTATCGTATTCTTTATGGGCATCATCGAAGCTCTCCTGAAGAGTATTCCAACGTTTCTTCATCTCTCCCATGAAATCATAAGTGGTTTGTGTCTCATCAGCATACCAGTTATGTAAGCGACTTTCAATGTGAGCAAGGTGAGTAGTCTTTGAAGAATCAACAGAGGTCGGAAGAGCAGAGGGTGTCTGCTGACTCCAGCGATAAGTCTGCTGCCAAAAGTTACTGGAATCGTACTTTGAGCCAAATCTCGTGATAGTTGTAACAATCTTATCGCGAGATTGTTTGGACATTTTTGCCACAAAGCCAAGTAAATCTATGTAAATGGTATCTTCATGGTTTAAAACAAAGTCCATCCTTGTGATCGATGAGGAACCTGTGAGGCTGTCTCTAGTTTGTTTGCATTCATCGAATGACATCCATATTCCTCTCCAGCCTGAAAATCCCAGGTTTATTTCAAAAGATCCTACCCGCGTAACCATTTTCTTCTTTTTTTTTTCTGCCAGCCTTACTTCCATCTTACTTCCACTAGAAGGAGTATCCTTGTAGATCCACATTTTAACACCTCCTCCTCTGAGTTTCTTGCCCTTGATGTGAGCCGATTTTGGAAGCTTGTACCTTAACTTAGATTCTCCGTTAGCACTCGATTCCCATTTAAGTGATGTTGTCCCGTGTTTGGCCACTGATGTCGAGAAAGAAATCTTTCCTTGTGTTTTCGGCACTGTAACGAGGCAGCTTTGCTCAACTGTGTCTTCGAAATCTAGTATCTTGTCAGGACGCTTTCCTGTCAATTGTGTTAAAGAATAAATGGGAATCATTGTATGAATAAAATGGGTAGATGAAAATAATTCACCTAGCGCATCATTCGATTCTTACAATAAATTTGATTTACGCTTCAATTTAACTGCCACACGAATAATTGCATGAATCCCTTTAATGGAATGTGCTCAAAACCTTTTTAGTACTTATTCTGTAAACTACAGAAGGTTCTGCTTGTCGAACAAAACAGTCTAGACTGTGTGATTGTGTGAATTAAAGAAAATTACTGACCGCACTGTTTACTCCAAGAACGTGGATATTTGGCGTTTGAAGTAGTATCCATGCTAAAAAAAACTTATTATCCTCGGCTTAAGAAACATACCAGCCGCCTGATCTATCAGCAACAACGCTAGACCAGTCAGAATGAGAAATGAAAATCCTGAAGTTCTTCTCTTCACAGACATTTTTCCTTAAACAAAAGTATACAAGAGAAATATCTTAACTTGATTTTAATCATTGAACAAAGATAAACCGTAACAATTTCGTAATTCGTTTTGCAGAAATATATACCCTGATATATAATCATTTCAGAGAGTGCGTAAAACAAACCTTCACAGTGCGCATATGTTGGTCGGTTGACTTAATTAATGAATTAAATCAGTTTGTTCTATATGTTTTATAAATTAGGTTTTTCTGACCTCTATCAATGGGAATCTACGCCTATGTTCTTCTCCTTGATATCCGAGGGATGTCTAATTACTCGAATGAAATAAAATTAAAATAAAAATATGATAAATAACTCAGCTTAATGCGATGTTTAATCCCTAAAATATGTTAAAGAAAGTATTCTAGCCACACATATTTTTTTAGTTTGTATGGAAAAACGGAGAATGACAAACTTGGAAAAATGCCGTAAGCGAACTTTAAAAGTAATCTTGTATATACGCTACTAGTAGACCTTATTTTCTTTTAATCGCATTCATTTGTGCCTCTACGAATTCACCTTTCATGGGTTATGAGGAAATATGGGGTAAAAATTTCCGTGTTTAAGCTTTCATTTCTTAGTCTTGTCTCAAATGTGGGGAAATTAGGGGAAACTGTGGAAGAATCGATTTCCTTTAAACGATTCCCACATCTTTAGGGTACAAATTAAATTTGAAATATCATCAACTCTTTGAGTTCTAGATAATGATATTTAATTTGGGAAGTATTTGCCTGTCAAATTTTGAGAGGTTACCGGCAAAAGAAATTGTTGTTATCCGTGGACTTTTCTTGTAGGTCTACACTTTACAACTCTTCTGTTTATAACTAATGCTTGTGATGCTATGGGTCTTTGATTTGTAGTAAGACATTGTAAAAAAGGTATGAAACTATGAAACTGATGAATGCCAAGCTGTTGTTCTTCTGGAAGGTTAAGGTACTGAGGCTACCACATTGTGCGTATTGATGGTTTTTTTAAAATTTTTTTTACCAAGAGTAAAATAAGTAAATATAAAGAGACAGTGCTTTTTATAGAGAATTTTGTTCATTTTCATACTGAACTATCATTATAAGAATAGCTATCAGCAAAAGCAGATGCCGTGTAATCGTAAAGAAAGGAAAGCAACGAAACACCGAGACAACGGAAGGTAAAAGTCTTTCTCAGTGCACTGGACAAGTAAATTTGCTCTTAGTGAACGTTGATGTTGCTGATGGAGGGGGGCATTGGGGCCCACTAGAAACCGCAAAACCGTAGAAAAAATTATCCAAAACAGAAAAACCGAAAAAAAATTGGATCAAAACCGAAAAACTGCATGCAAACTGTTGAATCAATAAGTCACGTGCACGTATGGCCTGTAACTTGGTCACCAACTTCGAGGTGGCGTTGATAAAGAAACTCTGGTAATGTAGCTTTACCCTACGTGTAGCCGTAACCTCCCCTCTCCCCCACCTTAGGGGAGGGGGAGGGTACGGCTACACGTAGGCTACCTAGGGATCCCTGCGATATTTAAATTGTTTGTCACGCATTCCTCTTGATAACATTTGCGTTTAGCGGCTATTCGAAGTCAGTGAAGGCGCGTAATTGCCGCTCAGATCGAAGAGAAACCGGAACCCAAATAGGTCAAATAGGAAAAACCGAAAACCGCATCGGATATCAAATCCGAAATCCCGTTAGTATTTTTCGCGATAACCGAAAACCAAATGCTAAGAAACGGAAAATCTGCAAACCACAATGAACACCAAAACCGAAAAACCTAAGTTGTTGGCATAAAAACCGAAAACCGGTCTAAAAAATAGCCAAAACCGCAAAACCGAAAATCCCAATGCCCCCCTCCGGACCACTTCAGTTTAAGATTAAAAACTTTCACCGGATTAATTTTGTTTTATTGGTTCAGCTTCTTCCGAACCTTTTAATTTGATATTTCTCCTTTTCTCACTTTTTTTTTCATATAGATGTTAAATTAAATGAACTTTTCAAAAAAAAAAACGAGAATTTGTCTTCATCAAGACGGTGCTGATTTTCCTAATTAAAAAGGATCAAATTAAGCGATATGTGATATCCGACTTCTGAAGGAATTTAAGTCGGTAAATAGGCTCACTGAATAAGCCTACAGACGCACCTTTACATGAAGTTTTTGAGTTATTTTCCCTTTCGTATAATTCAGGAGCAGTGATCTTGTTCAAACTGAATTAAAGCAAAATTTGAAAGTCTAATATGTGTATCAAAATTAGGTAAAAAGGATTAGGGAAGTAACTAAAACCGAAGTTAATCATTGATATCTATTAACTGTTCAACTGACAAATTAACTACATACCTCTGGTGGCATGAAGGAAACCATCTGGTGACTGTGTCCTTTTTGGTCTCCACAGAAGCTGGGGTTCATTTATAGAAAGATTTTTGGAAAAATGTTTTTGCTATCCAGTAATGGGAAATCTTGAGCGTCTCTGATTGGCCTATCAACAATTGATTAAAAAATCTGCTTTCACTTTCCAAAATGCTAGAGGACAATGGAATCATGGAGCATGACAGCAGTTCAAGCTGTCAAAAATGTCTTACAACAGGACTGTTTGTAAGATGACAATAGTACCCTGGAGAGGCGAAAGCCGAAAAAAATTTTCTTTGATATGAGGGAAATTCCGTCACAATGGATAACCTACCAATTCCGTTCAAAAATTGACTACGGCGTCATGTTACCTCAAAAGCCTTTTTTTTTAGCAATTTGACAAATAATTATTTATTTTTAAGTGTTTAAAACATTGTTTCTTCCTCGGAAGAAAGTTTTATTGAAACGGGAGAAAGGTGAGTTTCCAGGGAATATCAACAAACTTTCGCTCTTTGTTAACAGAAAAGTTGACTTTGAATATCTTATTACCTGAAAAGTTTTCAAAAATGGGTTAGCGAGTTGGGTTGGTGAGTTATCATTTCTGTAGTTCGGTCTTTGAATTTTATTTGAGAAGGATAAGTGCACACTTGCAAGACCTCGGCAGATGATCGTATTTCAAATGCAGGAAAGTCTCTCAAGTGAAGATTGGCTGTCTGCTTCTGATTGTTAGCAGGAGAACTTACCTATGAGTAATCATCGCGACAACTTTTACTTACAGTCCCTTCTCTTTTCACTCTAACACTATTTGCATTCCCGTTTTTCAGGCATGACTTTTCAATCAACGAAATTTAAACGCGTCAGATTTTTCTTTTTTGTGAAAGAGAACACTTAGCAATTTTCGCTCTTTTAGTTTAGCTCTTTAGTCCACGCCGTACTTGATCGATACGATGCTCTGATAAAGCCGCGAAAGTATTTAGGAAACTAGACGCCATAATACTAGAAATGATAGTAGAATAATGAAACCTTTGTTCGACGGTTCTACAGAATACAAGACAGTAACTATTGGTCTCATTGTTCGCATTTATCGTCACCCCTACGGGGCTTTGAAAATTACTGCGCAACTCTTAAAATACTCGCGCGTGTTACATCTTAAACCATCTAATAAGGTGTATATGTTTCTACTGCGTGTGACACTCTTTTAATATTTGACCTCCTTTTACGGATATTGTTTAACCAGGCGATTACAGTCAACTCTTTGCTTACGGTCACTCTCGTAAGTGGACAGCTCTACTTATAATTCCATACAGAAAAAAAATTATTGTCCACGTCTGTTTGTAAAATGGCAATGAGGAGACAATGAACGAGAATTTGGTTTGATATGGAGGAAATTTTAATTTTCCGAAAAAACAGACAACTCTTTCTAATTTTTTTTGCAAAAGTTGAAATGAGGATAGCTTGAATTTTTCAGGTAAATTCAACGAACTTTTATTTTAAAGACTGACTTTGGAATGGTCTATTGACTGAAAATGTTTTACGTTAGAGTTGGTCAGTTGGCGAGTTACCACTGTGAACTGTATTTGAGATAAGGTTACAAACCTGTTGGGAAATTTTTCCTCTTGCAATAATTCATTCTTATCACTGAAGTCACCTAAAGCAGGTTAGAGCACTTTGACTCTAAGTTTTCGTGAACATTTTTTTCAAAATCGTGATCATCGCTTTCTTAGGCGATACGTTAATTTCATGGAAATAGGATAGAGGCAGAAGTACGACTTAGAAGTTGTTCGCAGCATAATGGAGCTTCATGACTTGAGACAGCATAATCCAGTTTATCCGATTGGTAGGGAGCATATGACTGTGCAATAATTTGCCCAAATAATAAAAATTGTACTGTTTATTGTTTTTTGAAAACAAAGTAAGTGAAGTCCATGCATGGCGTCAGCTTAAAGGCTGGAGTTACATTTGCCGCAATTACGGAAATATTTAAAAATTGAATATTAGATCGTAAATAACTTTTGTCTGCCTTGCAAAATGTATTATTTGAAATGTGTGAGCACTTAAAACTTAATTGAACTTTTGTAGATGCATAAACCTTTCGGATTGTTTCTTTAAAGGTTTTCCCACTTTCATCAGAACGCAATTTCGGCTGATTTCGTTTTGCTTCCTCTTTCTCATAAACAATAGCTCGCAACAAAAATTTATTCGACTGCGACTAAACACTAAAACACCAAAATTGGGTCAAGGGAAAACGCTATCGTGGATGAACTCTTGTAATCAAATTCAATTCCTATAAACACGCAACTGCAGTAACGAGACGAATACAAAACAATTTTAAGACCGCTCCGTTTATTATTTACTATGTGAGATTACGTATCCACGTAATTCTTAATACAATAACTTCAATCCGGATCAATCTGTGGCGATCGCCATTGAACTAAATTAATTCTCTATAGCATGAATATAATGAGCAAGGACATATATGAGTATATGAGCAAGTAAACAAACCAATTGTGACCAAGGCAATCTTTTGAAAGTCTTTTTAGACCATATCAGGTTATTTCTCCAATTTCACTTCAACGCTGAATCCATTCTTGAGATTTTTAAAGACAATTATCTTTCCTTTTCCTGGGAGAGGGGAGGAATCCGGACGCTTTACTTCAACCCTCGGTTGATACCCGGCAGGAGATCCATGTACGATAACCGCTGAACCAGGGAGGGTTGTTTTCACATCCACTGACAAGGTGACCTCAATTTCCACCTCCCGACTTTCTAGCTCATAGAGTTCCTCCTTATTGACGTCGCCTGACGTTTTCAGCTCCCCGTCGACATTGAAATTCAAGTCAGGGTAGCTGATGCTTAAAAAGACGGATCGGGAATTCTGCTCGACCATGATGCGACATTGCTTGGTCACTTTTGTGATTAAACCACCCTTGGGGAGTTTTGACGTGGCATCAAAGATTACGTAACCGTACAATGGTGTTATGATGGCATTACGTTGTGGTGATATACCAAATTGTACCACGTGTGCCTTATCGTCTTGTTGCAGAACCGAGTACAGCACCCGATTTGAATTCATGTGTAGGCGATCCCAGTTAGCGGTGGCAGTGCTTCTGTAAGAGTCTGTTTTTACAAATATAGCGTACTCGTACTTGGCATTCGTGGAATTGTGCTCTAGCCAGGCTGTTGCATAAATACCGCTGGAGCAGACAGCAGCTACAGTTTGCGAACTTTGAATCTGGACATGTACCTTGAGATCAGATGCACTCGATCTTGGAATGTAATAACTGTTGCCTTTGGTGTCGACTAAAGTAGTATAGCCATCTTTCTTGTTTTTAGAAAGGGGGTTTACAGCTTCGAATAGATCTGAGCTGTCTTTGGTCACGCCGTCCATTTTGATGGAAAATTTAGATGCACCTCTAACTAGTTTGTCTTGAAACAGTGTCGTTCGCGCCTTAGTTGCTGTTCCGCCATTATCTATTTTAATGTCGCTTCCAAGACAAACTAAAACATTTTGGAAAAAGAAGACAGATTTCTTAAAGTGAAGCTTAACTTTAGGATGCGGATGATCCTCTTCAAAAAATTGATATTCTGGTTGATGAAAGTCCATTCCAAATACTCCGCTGGATAAAGGCTGTGGTCCTTTATAGGTAACTCCGCCAGCATAGGAAAGTGGACTAAAATTTCGTGCCTTTTTGAGCCTTATTTGCGATAGTGTCAAAGTCATCGTCGTTGCTCCAGGAACCTTTGTCCAGTCCCATCCGTTATCTATATCGTGAGCTTTTAGCGCCTCTTCACTATTTGCTATCAACATTGAACCATGGCTTTGATAGGTACCAAAGGCATTTTCTGGTGTTTTCTTCTTTGTGGAGCCCTCAAAGTCCCAGACAAACCTGTTGAAACCTTTGACTGTAACGGCCCAGTCCTTACGACGATGTATTGAGAGAGCAGCAAAGTTCTTGGACCAGTGACCTTCAGGAGAGGGTTCATAGGTTGAGGCTTTCGACTTGAGCTGTAATGGAAAAAATATCTGTCAATAGCTTCATTTGAGAGATCTTTTGAATTAACGATGCAACATGAAAAGGTAACAGATTCATCTTTCGCAAGTGTGGGACCTTAAAGAATACGGCGGTAAGTTAACTCGTAACTTTCACTATATTATTAAATCAATATGTATTCTCGCTTAATGCAAATAGATATCCTGGCCCCTTTTAAACTCTTTTCAAGAGTACAGTTTGATATATGTTGGCCCTTATTAGCCCTAAATTATATACAAAAAAATATAACGTCCAATCAAATTGCCCATGAATTAACCGTAAACTTTATCCCAGTGGATCGACAGTAATGGTGTTTCACGAATTAAGTCTGTGTGATTAGTCATATATTAGCAGCTCATTAACCATTGAGACTAAGCAATTGAAAATCTCGAATCAAATTATCCAATTGTTAATCATTATTTTTCTTCGATTTCCTATGGTTTTGCGATATTCGTTCTCCAAAATTTTTTTCTGACTACTTTTTTTTTATTGTTGTCAATAATCTATTGATACACCAATGTTAGACAAAATAGAGGATGAACAACTTTTATCTAAAAACCATCCTATTTTTTAACCACGCTTTTTTGTGCGAGTATTTGTATCAGAAAATCAAGCTGTTCACTTTGCCCAATCAACTTGATTAACTTACCTCATTCATTATTTTCAGGCATCCAAGACTGTTCATGTACGATTTACCCCTGTAAACCTTTCCATCTTCCAAATACTTTTTCACATTTTTGTCCGATAATTCATACAAACGTAGAAACATGCCTGCGTTTTTGGTGTTTGGAATAGTTATCCCTTTCGGTGGAGTCGATGCCACTAACTGGGATGAATAGGAGACACTGATGTACGCGTACGCCGGGAGGATATTTATCAGAGCCTCCTTTGAAAAGTCTGGAAAACGTCCTCCAACACTGCTTGGGGTAGAGTACTTCACGGATATAAGCCTCATTGTTTTGAGAGCCTCCAGTAAATTTCGTTTAGATGCATCTGATAAAGCAAAGTTTGTTCCTTCTAACAGATATTGCACTTGTGCTGCTGTGTGCAAAGCATGTGGAGCGTAGGCAGATGCATAGAACGCTTTGTGATGAAAACCGGTATAATCAGGTTTGATGACTCCTCCGAATGCTTTGTTGATACTCAGGGCATTATCCATCCACTTTTTCAAAGCATCCATATCCCTCTGCCTTTCCTTTTTTTCCTTATCTGTGGTAGCAGGCATCGCCAAGACAATCATCAGTCGAAATAGCAATATTGTGATCATTCTGTCGGCCGTCGTTCCTTTGAACTCGAATTTTGATTGATAAACTTCTCCAAAATCATTGTACCATTTGGCAGTGTTAATCATATTCACCAATCTGGTTTTATTTCTTGGGTCCTGGTGTAAAGATTTCTTTAGAAGAAAAAGAGTGTGCATGTATCCAGCACCATCTCGATTCATTTCATGATCAAGGGAGCCTATTCCACTTCCATCTGCCCATCCTTGATCTTCAATATAGTCAAGTAGATTGAGGATTCTCTGAAGGCGTGCTTTGTTAATAAACTGCAGTGATTTACGGACGTTGTTTTTGGTACATGCTAAAGTGCTGAGGTAGTTTCGGAACTCATCCTGTCTCTTTCTCCATTTTCCGCAAATCTTTTGGACGGATCGTTGCATCTTGGCAGCATCTCCAGAACACAGTTTGGACGTCTCTTTATTTACTGTCTTAGTTATCTCGTTGGAACGGGACTTAAGGTAATACTCGAGAGCTAGAGGCAACATAATACGCATAATAGGAAAGCTGAACTTTCTGGTTGGATCAGTTGCTGAATATGTCCTTGTCCCCATTTTACAGTTACGACAAAATAATGGAGGAGCGGTGATCACGATTTTAGTGGAGCCAGGAGTACTTGAATCGGGCTTACTTGTAAATGTTAGTCTATCGTATTCTTTATGGGCATCATCGAAGCTCTCCTGAAGAGTATACCAACGTTTCTTCATCTCTCCCATGAAATCATAAGTGGTTTGTGTCTCATCAGCATACCAGTTATGTAAGCGACTTTCAATGTGAGCAAGGTGAGTAGTCTTTGAAGAATCGACAGAGGTCGGAAGAGCAGAAGGTTTCTGCTGACTCCAGCGATAAGTCTGCTGCCAAAAGTTACTGGAATCGTACTTTGAGCCAAATTTCGTGATTGTTGGAACAATCTTATCGCGAGATTGTTTGGACATTTTTGCCACAAAGCCAAGTAAATCTATGTAAATGGTATCTTCATGGTTTACAACAAAGTCCATCCTTGTGATCGATAATGAATCCTTGAGGCTGTCTTTATTTTGTTTGCATTCATCGAATGACATCCATATTCCTCTCCAGCCTGAAAATCCCAGGTTGATTTCAAAAGATCCTACCCGCGTAACCTTTTTCTTCTTTTTTTTTTCTGCCAGCCTTACTTCCATCTTACTTCCACTAGAAGGAGTATCCTTGTAGATCCACATTTTAACACCTCCTCGTTTGAGTTCCTTTCCGTTGATGTGAGCGGATTTAGGAAGCTCGTACCTTAATTTAGATTCTCCGTTGGCACTCGATTTCCATTTCAGTGATGTTGTCCCGTGTTTGGCCACTGATGTCGAGAAAGAAATCTTTCCCTGTTTTTTCGGCACTGTGACGAGGCGGCTTTGCTCAGTCGCGTTTTCGAAATCTAGTATCTTGTCAGGCTTTCCTGTCAATTGTGTTAAAAAATAAATGGGAATCATTGCATGAAGAAATGGGTAGATGAAAATAATTTACCCAGCGTATTATTCGATTCTTACAGTAAAATTGATTTACGCTTTAATTTGATTTAACTGATATACGAATAATTGCATGAATCCTTTTAATTTGATGTGCTCAAACTTTTTAGTACTCATTCTGTAAAGTACATAAGATTCTGCTTATCGAACAAAAGAATCCAGGTCGTGTGATTGTGTGGGCTAAAAAAAATCATTCACCGCATTGTTTACACCAAGAATGTAGATATTTGGCGTATCAAGTACTATCTGTGTTCAAAACAAAATTATTATCCTCGGCTAAAGTAACATACCAGCCGCCTGATCTATCAGCAACAAGGCTAGACCAGTCAGAATGAGAAATGAAAATCCTGAAGTTTTTCTCTTCACAGACATTTTTCCTTAAACAAAAGTATACAAGAGACATATCTTAACTTGATTTAATCACGGTAAACGGTAACAATTTCGTAATTCGTTTTGCAGAAATACCCTAATATATAATCACTTCAAACAGTGCATAAAACAAACCTTAACAATGCGCATATGATGGTCGGTTGACCCTAAGTTGTCTTTGTTGAGAGCATTTTCAATAGGTGGGTTGCATGAATTAAATCAGTGTACTCTATGTGTTTTATGAATTAGGTTTCACTGACCTCTATTAATAGGAGTCTACCCCTATATTGTTCTCCTTGATATTCGAGGGATGTCTAATTACTCGAATGAAATAAAACTAAAATAAAAATATGATAAATAACTCAGCTAAATGTAGTGTTTAATCCCTAAAATATGTTAAAGAAAGTATTCTAGCCACACATATTTTTTAGTTTGTATGGAAAAACGGAGAATGACAGACTTGGAAAAATGCCGTAAGCGAACTTGAAAATTAATCTAGTATAGACGCTACTAGTAGACTTTATTTTCTTTTAATCGCATTCATTTGTGCCTCTACGAATTCACCTTTCATGGGTTATGAGGAAATATGGGGTACAAATTCTGGTGTTGAAGCTTTCATTTCTTGGTCTTGTCTCAATTGTGGGAAAATTAAAAGAAGCTGTGGAAGAATCAATTTCTTTCAAACGATTCTCACATCTTCAGGGTACAGATTAAATTTGAAATATCATCAACTCTTTGAGTCTTAATAATGATATCTAATTTGGGAAGAGCCTGTCAAATTTGAGAGACTACCGGGAAAGCAAATTGTTGTTATCCGTTGACTTTTCTTGTAAGTCTACGGTTTACAACTCTTCTGTTTTTAACTAATTCTTGTGATGCTATGGGGCTTTTATTGTAGTACGACAATGTAAAAAAAGGGTATGAAACTGATGATTGCCAAGCTGCTCTTCTTCTGGAAAGTTAAGGTACTGCGGCTACCACATTGCGCTTGTTGATGTTTTTTTTTTCCTACCAAGAGTAAAATGAGTAAATAGAAAGAGACAGTGCTTTTAATAAAGATTCTGTTCATTTTCCCCATCACTTGGATACTGAAGTATTGTTATGAGAATAGCTATCAGCAAAAGCGGATGCCGTGCAATCGTAGAGAAGGGAAAGCAACGAAACACCGAAACAACGAAAGGTAAAAGTCTTTCTCAGTGCGCTGGACAAGTAAATTTGCTCTTAGTGTACGCAGGAGTCCATCACTTGGTGTACGTTGATGTTCCTGTTGCACGAATCACTTTAGCATAAGATTTGAAATCTTTCAGCGGATTAATTTTTTTTCGAACCCAATAATTTAATATTTCTCTTTTTCTCACTTTTTTTTCATGAAGATGTTACATTAAATGAATCATGAATAAAAGAACGAGAATTTGTCTTCATCGAGACATTGCTGATTTTCCTAATTAAAAAGGATCAAATTAAGCGATATGTGATATCCGACTACTGAAGGAATTGAAGTCAGTAAACAAGCTCAATGAATGGACGTACAGACGCACCTTTACATGAAGTTTTTGAGTTATTTTCTCTTTCGAATACTTCAGGAGCAGTAATCTTGTTCAAACTGAACTGAAACATAATGTGAAAGTCTAATATGTGTATCAAAATTAGGTAAAAAGGATTAGGGAAGTAGCTAAAACCGAAGTTAATCATTGATATCTATTAACTGTTCAACTGACAAATTAACTACATACCTCTGGTGGCATAAAGGAACCATCTGGTGACCGTCTCCTTTTTGGTCTCCACAGAGGCTGGGTTCTATTTACAGAAAGCTAACAGGAAAAATATTTTTGCTATCCAGTAATGGGAAATCTTGAGCGTCTCTGATTGGCTTATCGACAACTGATTAGAAAATCTGCTTTCACTTTCCAAAATGCTTGAGGACAATGGAATCATAGACCATGACAGCAGTTCAAGCTGTCAGAAATGTCTTACAACAGGACTGTTTGTAAGATGACAATAGTACCCTGGAGAGACGAAAGCCGAAAAATATTTTCTTTGAAATGTGGGAAATTCCGCCAAAACGGATCACCCACTAATTTTGTTCAAAAATTGACTATGGCGTCATGTTACCCAAAAACCATTTTTAGCAATTTGGCGATTCATTATTTATTTTTACTGCAATTATTTAGTTTTACTACAACGAGAGAAAGATGAGTTTCCGGGGAAGATAAACAAACTTAATATCTTATTACCTGAACAATTTTCAAAAATGGGTTAGTTTGCGAGTTATCATTTCTATAGTTCGGTCTTTGAGGAGGATAACTGCAAACTTGCAAGACGTCGGCAGAAGATCGTATTTCAAATTTAGGAAAGCTTCTCAAGTGAAGATTGGCTGTCTGCTTCTGATTGTTAACAGGAGAATTTATCTATGAGTAATCATCGCGACAACATTTTTACAGTCCCTTCTCTTTTCACTCTGATACTACTTGCATTCCCGTTTTTCAGGCATGACTTTTCAATCAACGAAATTTAAACGCATCAGATTTTTTTGCTAGTTAAAGAGAACACTTAGCAATTTTCGCTTTTGTAGTTTGGTTCTTTTGCGCACGCCGTACTTGATCGATACGATGCTCTGATAAAGCCGCGAGCCAGAGAGTACTAAGAAAACTAGACGCCGAAATACTACAAATGAAATGATAGTTGAATAATCAATCCCTTATTCGACGGTTCTACTGAATACAAGACAGTGAACATTTGTCTCGTTGTTCGTATTCATCGTCGCCTCTACGGGGCTTTTAAAATTACAGCGCAACTCGCAAAATACCCGAGCGTATTACATGTCAAACTATTTAGTAAGGTGTACATGTTTCTATTGCATATAACACTCTTTTAATACTTGACCTCCTTTTACGGACATTGTTTAACCAGGCAACTACAGTTAACTCTCCGCTGACGGACACTCTCGTAAGTGGACAACTCTACTTATAATTCCATAGAGACACTTTTTTTCAATTCCCCTTTTCGAAGTCAAACTCTGTATTTACACATTCCCATAAGCGTACGGTCTCTTGTAAGCACTTTCTAAAGTGAAATTTGATAAATCTTTATTTTACGCCTTCTCATTAGGGAACACCCCATGCATAATTTCAATGTACAGTATTCGAATGTATGGGCCGCGCTTTAACTTTTTTTTTTAATATAAGATAGATGTATTTTGTGCTTCTATTCTTTTTATTTTTCGAGTTTTAACATTTGACATCAAGAAATAGTTTCATTTGCTATTTTTGGCTCTCCAATAAAAGATTTACTTATAACACCCGCCGATTAACTCTTCCGTAAGCGGGCAATTACTCTAATTTTCTTTGGTGCCCGCTTGTCGGAATCATTCTCATAGGCGGTCAGTTCTACCAACAGACACTTTTTTTTCCCAATTTTCGAGGGTTTCGGCTAACGAGAGAGTCGATTTTTACTTGGCTGCTAACGAATCTATAGCTACATTCACTTTCATGACTTTTTTTATTAGTCGCTGTATAGGATGTCAATTGGAGAAATGACAGGGGTAAATTATGAATTAATGCAGGACAAAATCTCCACCCCCACCGCCCCATTAAAAAAAAGAGCAACCCACTTCACTTGATGAGAGAAGAGTTGTA